CGTCGACGAGAAAATGCGCTCTCTGTCACTCACTGCAGTGAGTACTGAGTAATATTTTTTAAAGACATACTCGTTCAAACCCACATTTTAAATGAATCATACAACTAACATTTCACTTTTTTCAGAATGTGAGAAAAGCTTAGCGCCTTTTGAATTAAATTCGCATATCCCAATTTAGAAATTAAATTTTAATTTGTAACCTAATTCGTTCTTCCCAGATTTGCGATGCAATTTTTCAGGTTCTGTTAATATTTTGACACGATAAATATCGTAGAACGCGCTAAAACATAGATCTATAAATTTACGGCGCCAGGCTTCAGCCGCACACAAACAAACTTTGACAAATGTTTATAAGATAACTCGACAAATTAAATATATTTGCATTTTTACGGATCTTGGCGTAGGAGCAGAAGCTGTCAAAAAAGCCCAAATATAGTGGACTTGCAAGTTTTACGACGTGAGTCTTGCTTCGACAAAATATTTATATGAAATAATCAACATATTTTTAACACGTATACGAATATGTACTGCAAAGAACATAATTCATAATATGTTCGGCGCAACTATATATGGCACCATCCAATAGTTCCACAGAAAACATGACAATTTACTATAAACTCAAACCACGAGGAGAGGCAAACAGACACATCGCTTGGCATATTTTGCTGGATTAAATAATTAGCTGGAGACGGTATCCGGCCTACAGGTAGCATCGAGCGAGATCTACGTATCCGCTGTTAACAATACAAATATCAACTTTATTGGTAACGTCCGTGATCATTTTTTCCACGCGCGGAACTTTTTACATGACGTTATACTCTACCAATGTATATTTAGAAAGGAGCATGAATGATGACATTTTTTGAATGAAGGGGCATGAATGATGACATTCTAGTTAAATTGAAGAAATTAATTCCAGTTAAATTTAAAGAAAATGGTAAGTCAAAATTTTAGATTTAAGCGCAAGTAAGAATGCGACATAATGTGAAACCTGCATCATCAAAGAAATTGGCACCCAAACAATTGGTTTCGACATAATTTTTCTAATCGGTTTATCAATGGCAAGAATGCACACAAATGAACGAGCGGAATATTAACACGTTGACTACGAAGTGGTACATATGCGTACCACGAAATGTAATTCTCCAGGACGTAGTGGTACATAATTCAGGTTGCCTAAAATCGCCAAATCCGAGAACAAAAAGGCCAAAGAAGGCCGATAACTCAAGTCAATATATACTAGTTTATTTGTAGGTTCCACTATAAAAATTCTATTTATTTTCTTCTTGCAGTATTTAAAAATTTAATTAGGAAGTACCCCTATCATAAATTTTAGCCGGCCAACGCAATTGAGAAAAACTAAATCACGGAATTTGTCCGGAAAAAAATGACCGTCTGGCAACCTTGTTAAAAGCAGTACAAAAAATGAAATAATAGTATAAGATTAAGCAATCGGAGTCAAAGTGTTAAGAGGGGAACCGTTCAAATCAGTTTCACATTTTGCTCTGAATTGCGAATACAAGATGCCCAGAAAACACCAAATTTACGTGTATACACATATACGTGAATGTTCGCGTGAAAATTTCCTCGTTTCATGCTTTACGCGATTATTCAACATCAATCTCACATTGAAATTTCAAGTAATGTAATCATTCACTAGAATCTGGTAACAGAGTTATCTTCGAGAAACTTCAAAAGTTACACAATTTTTCTTATAAATACAACTGAATCTACAATCATAACGTATTAAAAGTTACCTAATTTTTATTATAAATACAACTGAATCTACAATCATAAGGCAAACAAGTTGTGAATTTCAAATTTAAAACTTGACAATTAATGAATTTAAGAAGAATATAAAGCAAGTGAGAGACGCAGAGAACGAAGTCAGCGAAGGCGCATTTGACGCCCGGCGGCAGCGCGGCAGAGCGTGGAGACCTCAAGGCCAGCTAGTGAACTAATCAAATACTGAGTGTGAGCGCAACGGACGAGACAAACGTTATCGAAAATTGTGATAAAATCACCGGAAAATACAAACAACCGGAACTCTCGATATTAATTGACGGTTCATGTACCAAATCATTGTTCAATCTTAACTCTAACGCTGAATTACCGCCCCCAAATTACTGATGGTACCAGTAATTTGGTGCTAACTCGTTAAGAATGAATAGAATTATGAACAATATGGGGATCTAAGGACCCTTTCATGCAACTTAATAATTAACTTTGATTTCAATAAGACTATCAAGCTTCAATAACATTAATCGCTTCGAACCTTTCTGATTCAAATCCCCATAAAACATACTTTACAAGTTGAAAATCCCAGCAGTGAGGAAAGCTTCAGGACGACTTCAATATCACCGGAATTCAGGAATTTAAAAGCAAAGAAAACAGCCAGAATATTAACCATTTCTTAAGAATGAAAACGTTTCGGAGTCCAGCTCCATCGTCAGTTCAAAGTTTAAAACCTATAAGAAAAGCAGAATCAATTAGAAAACCAAATTCACATCGAAGATAAAAACATAAATTGACAAAAATAAAAACAAATACACATAAGGAGACAGNTGGAACTGATGTTGCTTTGGAGCAGGTACATATGGAACTGATGTTGCTTTGGAGCAGATACATATTCAACTGATGTTGCTTTGGAGCAGGTACATATGGAACTGATGTTGCTTTGGAGCAGGTACATATGCAACTGATGTTGCTTTGGAGCAGGTACATATGGAACTGATGTTGCTTTGGAGCAGATACATATTCAACTGATGTTGCTTTGGAGCAGGTACATATGGAACTGATGTTGCTTTGGGGCAGATACATATTCAACTCATGTTGCTTTGTAGAAGGTACACATGTAACTGATATTGCAAACTTGCAGAAGAGAGTTTGGTATAATGCTGGTAATTAAAAGACAGCAGTATAGATCTCAAGCAACACAGATGTGAAGAGCTGGACAAGTGTCCATGCCTGCCTACAAGAGACGCTGATTCTCTTCTATTGGTTCAGGTGTAAACACAGGTGGCTGCTACCCCTTGACTAGCTGGCTTACTTTGAAAGAAAATAGATGAGTCAAGCTGCTGTGGCAAAGTTGCTACAAGATAGTATTAATATTACCATCATTTTTAGTTTGAGGCTTAGTTATTATGCCCATGCCTTCCACCAATCATCTGACCATCAATCCATACATAACATCACCCATTAGCATGCCCAAGAATAAAAATATGAACACTTAAATTGAAGTTTTGACTTGGGAAATTGATGCTATTGCGACACATTTTTGAAGAGACTGAAATAGGTAGAATTACATATTTAATTAATTAAAGTAATGGCAAAAAAAGGATTAAAGTGAAGTTAGATTCTACCTATTTCTACCTATTTCACTACGGTACACATTTGAATGTTTAAATATAAGTAATTTCAATTTGTTAAAAATAAAATTTGACACACATTTACTCATCTCTGATGTAAAGGAGAATGTTTTGGTTGCAATAGGTATACATATATCCAGGTAAAATTAGAGATTTGGTGCAATATGTGCACATTGCTCAGCAAATAGATTGTTTCATAGGATATTTCAGGAAATTGTAGGTAAAAATGTGCCTTTTTTATTGCATTTTCTCAATCATGGAAAAAAAAAAGGCGCTAACATGCTTGTCATGCCCATCCATCCGTCCGTAACTACACGTCATGGACAGACAAACAAAAAGCCCTCTCTGCAACTGCAGAAAGTACTGATCTAACTTTTCATAATTTATGCTGATAAAATTGGGCAAGAGCTATAGAGACAAGTGAAATTGCCCACCATCACAGGCATTTTTGTATTACTCACCTGAGGCCTACAATCAGGATTGAAAATAACCTACTTACTACAGAAATTTTGTGGCTACCATTCAACAAATTTTCACTACATTTGGAATCTTATGGCCTGACTGTGCACCTGAACTAACAATTTGATAGGAATTAATTCTTTAGCAAGAATCCTAAGTAGAAAATTGGGCATTACTTCAGAAGCCAACTATGAATTGGCAAAAATGCCTATGAATTTCACCCATTCTAATGGCCTATCTTCAGTTTCTTTGGTAAGAAAAAAAATGGCCTATTTTCACCTGCAACTTCTGCCAAAATGGGATGAGAATTGTACAGATCTAAAACTGGTAGGGTAGCTCAAACTTGCTGCTCTAGTTGCAGCTCACAGGTCAAAAGGTAGATATATTACATTCCTGCAGGCTGCAGCGCCAGCCTGGATACAGTCAATGGCAATGCCAATAAATACTAATGTAGCCACTGAGTCTGATGCCCCAACACTTATTTCATTGGCCTGGCAGCTTTCAACAAGATATCTAGTATGGAATATATCTACTTGGCAAGCCGCGACTGAATTTTTCGAGCCGTGGTTTTATGGATTTGCCAGCCGTGAAGCAATGCGGATTGCGGAAGTTGAAAATTTTATGAAATGACATGTTTGCGAAGTGCAAACCGCAATTTTTTAATCAAACAAAAATTTATGACATTCGAGCCGCGAGATTTCATACCTACTGAAATTATATGATATTAGAGCCGCGAGATTTCATACCTACTGAAATTATATGATATTAGAGCCGCGATATTTCAGACAAAAATAGGACTTTTCCAGACTAGCAAGATATTATATAAAAAATTAAAATTAAATCCTAAAATCATATAATTCTAATTTCTAGCACGATCAAAACAGCTTCATCATTCATGTGATCATCATGTGGTTATTGGACTTTGAAGCTAAACAATTTTTAGGCTACTTCCAAGTTCTGACCTCAATATAAACTGCACATGCAACATACCTTGGCTTGCTGCTTGTCAGTTGTCACAAAAACAGTATAGGCCCTAATACCGGTCGGTGGTAAGAATTCAGAACTAGAATTTGTAGGATTTGATACTTGATAGTAGGCTACCTAACTACATGAAATGAAATTAATAACACTTAGTTGAAATTTTACATTTTTGGGAACAAAATTTGAACTTACCCGAGCGAATTTCTGCCGGTGCTCAGCAAGCCCCAATTTTTGGTGCTCTAAGGATGCTATGGCATTTCTAAGCTCATCTATAACAGCTCCTGATGTTTCTTGCCTCTCTGCCAACCTTTCCAGCTGTTCCAGGGCCGTTATAACTCTTGGCATAAGGCTGGTCAGAGCGTCCGATCCATACACTTCGATTATTTTTTCAAATTCTTTGCCTATGTCAGCTGCAATATCGTAGACGTCTACGACACTGAATCGAAAATCGTCTTCGTCATCCATGATTTGAAACGAAATGTGCTGAAAGCCCGGTAAAACGGACTGGCATCCGATCAGCCACTGCACTAAGCAGCAACACTTACGACTAAACCCTACCACAAAGCATTGCACACTGATGCACTGTGAAGTGTGAACTGAGGAGTGAGGACTGAGGAGGTGGATTACGTCACAGTAAAATAGTCAACTTTACCCTAAATGATTTAAAATTACGTTAACAACATATACGAATAATCTGTTTGTTTTATGCACTTGAATGTAGCTGTTTATTGATAGCTAAATGACAATCTTAGTTGTTTATCTATTTGAAAATTCATCTCTTATGGTTGATTTGGAAAGTTACAATTGTTAATTTTCATCACTTCAAATGAAAATAATAAGCTTTGTGACCACGAGAAGTTCGACGATGTTGAGATTGAAGTTCGGTTGATAACTTAGATTTTTAATGAGACTGAAAGCTTCCAGTTTGAACATGATGATTTTATGGCTGGAAAAAAAAATTTTATGATTTGATTGTCTCGCAGCCCCAAAAGCCCCCCGGAACCCAGAGAAATCTCATGAAACGTTACAAATGTAATCCATGTGGTATCCCGATTGTAACAAATGCTCCAATCCCAATACTGTATTTCACTAATATTTGATATTAGTGCCGTCAGTCATTGAAACAAGCATATTTTTCCGCCGTCTATTCACCTTGCAAATCAGACACGGTGATCAGTCAGGGTAGAAACAATAAAATTAGATTGAAGAGATCACTACAACTTTGTCTTTTAAGTTTTAACTTCCTAGCTTGTAAAGTTTATGAAAATTATTATAATTCTTGTCAGTTTTCTCATATATTAAACATTGTAACTCAACTTAGTCGTTTCAAGACTTTGCATGTAGCTTCTCAGACACACATTTGCCTCAAATAAAAGTCGAAAATCAACCATCTCTATCTCTTCGACCAAACCAAACAAATGTCAACTTTAAACAAAGAACAAAAGCATACTTGGAGGTTAACAAATTTTAGTATATTTTTTTAAAAGAAAGACAACACAAACATTGCGCACCCAAAACCACGATCAAGCACTCAAATTTTTCAATATATTTAATTATAATTGTAATGATAGCTGTATCAGGGCTAAAGATTATGCCATAAGGCCTTATGCCGATTCTGAACATAGCATAATTTTCACAATTTGTTGCGGGTCTCAAGCACGCAACTCACTGCTTCAATATCCAATGTCCCCGCCCGGCTGCCTCGTCGATTTCGACCAAGAACTTTCCCAGTTGACTGGGAATTTTTTTGCTCTGATTTTTAACCATTAGTCCATCCAGACTTCTTACTGTTGCGGAACTTGATGGACAACCGGTCTTTTTTAAATAAACTCGGTAATAAACCGAGTCTTTGGCGCGTCCACGTTATGCTAAATACAACACCTGAGGTAACCTAGAGAATTATTGTAACAAAGACAAATTTAGTTACTTACTCAATTCAGATTTCTTCTCTAAGCCATGAAAAACTGCAAGTAACCATTTAATTGAGCCTTTATCCACAGTAACGCCAATATATTCTATTCTATTTATTTCAACACTACTTGCTCACAGTCTGTCATAATAAGTGACACAGTCTGTCATAATAAGTGACACAGTCTGTCATAATCCCTGTGGTGATCATAACTTACATCAACGTATGTGACAGAAAAAACATATTCGAGAAATTTGAAGTTATTGGATGGTGTGCTCGGGATAATAGTTTTTTAACTCAACAACTATCCGTCATATTCAGGCTTTTGAACAGGGGTGGGAACTTCAGACATTCAGGTTTAACTTTATTTTAATTTAATATTTCATTCAGAAACTGTTCTCCAGTTGGCTGGAAGATTTAAAGTTGCATTTTCGAAATTACTTGCCGCCATTCAACGCTAAATAATACATATGGATTCACCACACGCAAGTAAGATCGTTATTCATTATGAATAGACAACCAGGCCAGCTGCGCAACGCTCAATTAAGACAAGCCAACCCGACCCAAAGAGATGTTAAAAAAAAATGCGCGAGGTTGAAGAAAGTGTTATCAATTATCACTACAATAGACTTTAAATATCTGTAATAGTAGGCAATATGTATTTATCATAAACAGATATTGCAAAATATAAAGAATATGAAGTGGAGTTTTCAGCAATTGAAAACTAGTTAGCATCAAATGTTACCTTATTCAAAATTACTGTTGTAATAGCCTATTGATTCGTCAGCGATGAAGGTGAAAATGTGCCCTCCACTTTCATTCATTCACTATCGCACCCTTAATATAGTGGGTGCCACTATATTAAGGGTGCAACACTGTAAAATTTACCATTAATAATAATAATAATAATAATAATAATAATAATAATAATAATTGCGGTTTCAGCGATATTAGGCCGTGAGCCTGTCGCCGATTCTTAACATCGCAGAACATTCACACCATCGATCCATGCTGAGTTTCAACTCACGCAATCGATCGTATCGTGGAGCAACTGGACAAACACCCGAAGCTGTCATGACGACCAGTAATATGAACAAATTGTATAGCAGGTCTCGGCACAGTGCGCTACGTGCTGTGGACGACATTAGTTCATGCTGGGCGCTGGGTACCATAATTTAACTGTACGCATATAACAGTCATACTAGTATATAACTTATTGTGCATACACTGAGATATTCTCAAGGTATTATACAAGTATGGGTTACTTGGTTGCAAGCTCTGTATAGTGTGCATGGATTATTTTAGAGCGTTTAAAATTAATGGTGACTGAGTATTGATTATTGCACAAAATTTGTGTATAAGGTTCATATGCATTTTCACATTGATATCATAGTTTCTTGACATGATGTGCAAATTAAGTCATTCTGTAAATCTGAGTCATTACCTACGATAAATATTAAAGATTAATATCATTCAATAGCTCGGTCCTAAATTGCTAACTTTATCAAGTTTGTCAATAATTTGTATTTGTTAAATATTTTCATTTAACTTCTCCGGAATACTATGCTACCAGAAACCAATGAATGTTAGAATATTTAAAAGTTTTTAAAGTTTTTCTTCTACTAATTCAGTGGCTTGAATCTTAGAAAAACTTAGTATTGCAACATTTAATTAAAATACAACTATGAAACTTTATTTTACGAGTATACGTATCACAAAATATAACCATTCAACGCATAATTTTTTTTCTACCCTTGATTGCGTACATCTTCTCATATCTTAAAAAGTCCCTCTATTCACCGTGTTCGATTCATCCATTAAATTTATAACACTAAATTCCATTAGTAATTATATTTATTTAATTTCTATTCATAGGTCTTCATCAACTGAACGAGAGGTGCCGTGAGAGCAGAGACTGCCATGGGTCTGACGCTGATCGTAGGCATAGCGTTCATGGTGGTGGGCGGCGCCATGTCGGGCTACGGCTTCTACAGCTGCATGAAGACTTCGGTCAGTTCTGACAGCTGCCTAGATGCTTTGTATAGAAGTACATGGATGCATAGAATTTACAGTAGAAGTAAAAAACATCTATTTATATTGAATGTGTGCAGTTAACGGCCAATACCGCGTCTCCAGCTGCACAAAGCTACGGCCAGTTCTGTTCTGTAATCGCTATTATTCATCTCCGACGTACAAATTGCCTGCTTAAAGCATACTCATTCGCTTTAGTAAATGCCCTCAACTTAGTCAACTAATATACTGAGCATTGTATAGCGCTTAAAATTTTCGTGAAGGCCCCAAAAAATTTTTCGTTACTATTATTTTTGTTTAAAGAGCCTCTTAACTACAAGTATTTGTGATTTTGATGGACGTTGATCACAGTCGTGCTCGCTCCGTGTGTCTGTAAGAACATATTGAGATTATTTAATTAATTTTAAAAATTAATTAAAAGGGGGAAAAAGGTTATCGGATAAAAAAGGGCTCCAACAGCCTTAAAATTAATCATTGCGTCGTGACTACGCGGATAGTGTCAGCAAAAAAACGGGTGGCTCCAGAACATCAGGCCGCTTACCGAGCCCTGATTTCATTAGAAGGACGAGCGAAAATATATTTCATTATAGGGAAAACGCGGAAGACGTTAATGCCACGATGTCGGCGTCGGTGAAAAACTATTTGCGCAAACGTAGAGCTCCCAGTGTACTCTGTACAAAATTTACTAATAATGTAACGCACAATAATACTAGTTCTCTCTCGTTCTGGTCGAAAACAAAATAATTTTTTGCTGCAGGGCTCGAAGTACAACGCGGAAGACGTAGACGCCATGGTGGCGGCGTCGGCGCTTAACTATTTGTGCAAACGTAGAGCTTCCATTGTACTTTGTACGCCATTTACTGATAATGTAGCGCCAACTGAAACTATCTTTTTCTCGTTCTAGTGAAAAACAAAATAAATTTTCTTCTGCAGGGCTCGAAGTATAACGCTGAAGACGTTGACGTTACGTTGTCGGCGTCGGAGATTAACTATTTGTACAGTCGTAGAGCTTTCAGTGCACTTTGTACGCCATTTACTAATAATGTAACGCAAAATAATACTATAGTTCTCTCTCGTTCTGGTCGAAAACAAAATAAATTTTCTTCTGCAGGGCTCGAAGTACAACGCTGAAGACGTTGACGCCATGGTGGCGGCGTCGGTCCTGGCGCAGGAGAAGGAGCGTCAGGAGCTCGAGGCGCTCTACGAGGAGTTCCGCCCTGGCCTCCAGGTCAAGAAGAGGAAGGTCCTCGTCGGATAAAATGTTTGCCTATTTCCTGCACCACGATAAAAAATTTGTTTATCTATTAAATTGGTAACCGAATAAAGTACACAAGTGGACAGCTCTTGCCGGATAAAATGCTTGCCTATTTCCTGCTGTACGCTAAAAAATTAATATAAGAACACCACATTAAATTGGTAGCCGGATAACGTATAGAAATGGACAGCTCTTGTCGGATAAAACATTGATTATTTTCAGCACTACGTTAAAAAAATTTATCTACACCGCAATATATGGGTAGCCGAATAACGTATTGAAATGGATAACTCTTGTCAGATAAATGATCGATCATTTTCAGCATTACGTCAAACAAATTTATCTATACCGCATTATATTGGTAGCCGAGTAACGTATTGAAATGGATAACTTTTATCCGATAAAAGATTGATTATTTTCAGCATCACGTTAAAAAAATTATCCACACCACATTAAATTGGTAGCTGAATAGAGTAAAGAAGAGGACAGTTGCTCATTGGTTATAGTAACTCGCGTTGAGATGATAACCGAATAAAGTGAAAGAGGAAATCAAAATTTAATGTCAATGTCAATAAATTTCAAATGAATGGACTTTTTGACCTAATACAGCCCAGTCAGATTGTAGCCAAGTAAAATTAAAATGATTAACGAATATTAGTATTTTTATCCTACCTTATGAGATGAAAATATAAGCAGTTTTCCGTATTAAATAATTAGACTAACTAACGATACTTCACATAGGACGCGCACTGAACATTATCTGACCATTAAAACGTTCATTGCACGAATTATAATTAATGTTCGGTTGCAGCGATGATATTAAGTAGCAAGAAATTAGTACTTTATAGATGGTTATTCTTCAAGATGATACTAAACTATTAACGGACCAGTAAGATGGAATTTGACTGAAATCTCGTGGTTTTATTGGGACATGATGTAGTTCACAGAAGCTCCAGAGTCCAGAGTGATGATATGTAGGTGAGACTGATAAGAACAATGAAGAAACCTTGGGATAATAAAACGTATTTTAATAGAGATACATTATGATAATTTTCAAATTTTATTCACTAATCTGCTGGTCTTTCTACCAAATAGACTACTTAACACTTCACTGGCATATTGGATTCTCTACAAACTATTACTATTATGGCTTGACACTATATAAAAATTTCGCGAACGTTTGTACGTAGTATCATGAACGGGTCATATAATTGTATTACATGTGAAAAGGGAGATTTGCATGGTTAAAGTTGCGAGATTCAACAATCACGTAAGCCAGAAAAATTGAAAATATCTGTTGTTGTTGTTGTTGCGATGAAAATTATTCGAACACAATATTAATCATAACTAAATATATAAAAAAAGGTAACATTAACAACCAACAAGCCAAGGTAATGGAACCCGTTAATTAAAAAAAAATGAGGTCACTAATCTGAACACTAGAGGGAACTTAAAACTATAAAACAATAAAAGTTTTGAAGTTAGGTCAGTAATATAAGCATCAACTTTTAAAATTATTTGGATAACTGTCGCAGCACTCTAACCTTTTTGTCGGAGTCAATTGACTTAACGCCTTCAGTATATCACTTTCGATGTTATGAAAACTAACAATATTTAACGTTCACCTTAATTATCAATATACTCGTAACATCAATAATTAAATTAGCTAAAATTTAAAAGCAAAGAAAACGACAATTAAATTCAACATATCTTCAATGAAAACGTTCGGGACACCAGCCCCATCATTAGTTCAAAAAATTATAATATATATACGTATATATTTTTTCTTTGCAATTAATTTTCTTGATGAACATACGATTTATGCAGACTAATGATAGAAGTAAAGATTGAATTAAATCACAAAAATTACAAGCATTGCGGACATCGGTTAAGCAACTCCTATTAAAACTATTGAGATAACAACAACAAATTATTCATAAGAAACACTTAAGTTAAGCCACTCTATTTGCAAGTTTCATGCGGTACGCGCAGTTCAAAAGCGACTTTGCATGATATCAGCCAAGATGTGTCCGCTTTGCGGACATCGTTGCCCGGTAACGAGCGATAAAAAAAAACTGGAATATCAGATATTAATTTAAGTTCTTCGTTAAAGATAAATCTGGCCATTGCCCCTGGAAAATTATAATAAGGTGGTACAACACAGGAAAGAGGGAATGGAATTAACTTTAATTTCAGCTGGATCATGTATACTTAAATAAAATACTATCTATAACCTTATCAGAAAGGGTGTTAAGACGTTCGATAATTCGCTCAGGTACTTTACAGTTCGGTATGTTTTCGATCATTTGGCACGTCCGCAAGGCTGGCACTGACTTCTTCTTGGGCCCCCTCTTCAGGAGGCGGCGGTGAAGGCGTAGGCTCTTCGTCCTGTCCTTTAACCTCCAAAGGGGGCGCTGAATTCGGAATTTCCTCGTGAGCGGTCAAGTTGCCTGCACAAATAAGGGACTTAAACTACATATGACAAGATTTAAGCAGCATCGACTCGCTGACGCCTTGGTATCTATATTCTCACTCCAGAACTTGATACCTGTGATCCTAATATCATGGCTTGATTTCGGCAGCAAAGTAACCAGCATACACGGGACCATCACAACCGCAGACATCCCTCTAAAAATACACACATACAACAAACATATACAAACCGTACAACTAAAATGACAAGAAATAATATCATAAACAACATATACCAAATTCATCAATCAATTTAGCGCAATCTTTTCTCTCCAAACACATCATCACCAATTCACTCACTTCAAACAACCCCACCATACACTCTCCATCATTCACATAATACAATATATTCTTACACTCCCATGTCTTATCACTTATCAAAATAATCAATCTAGAATAGCCATCACAACAATCGCAACACTCGAATCTTCATCATTCATCAGTCACGCCAATATATCTCATAAACAATGGCTCGCGTTTTCCCAATACTAAACTCTATAATAACCCTCGGTAGTCCAACAAAATATCGCCCACAAAAAACCATATTCCAACACCCACAGGCATAATTTAAATCTATCCAATTGCAACATCACGCACATTATCAGTAATCATCAGTTCACTCTCCAACTGTCGCATTTTAACTCAAACACAACTCCAAAAACGTATAACAATATAGCCTTTTTAAATAGTTTAAAACCGTCCCTAATATCTCTCATTATCACCTTGGCCATCTTTGCCTAAACTTGCCTAGCTTACCCTAAACTACCTTATCCTATATAACCTTAATTATTCATACATAACCTTTACAACCTAACCTAACCTATCCTAACCTAACCTAACCTAACCTAATCTTGCCTAGAACCAAACTTACTACTAATCTAATCCCCCATAAGAAAGCCTATATTAACTTTAACAAGCCTTTCATAGCCTGATCAGCTACCCATACCTGACTTCACACCCAATAAATTCCATTGCAAAATAATCATCCATAATCCAACGCAATCAAACTTACCTTCATCTGACCAAACAATGTTTTACTCACAAAATCCTAAGTAATTCAATCTAGCTTAGCTTAACCTATCAAAATCTATTATAACATGAACTGACCTCACTAGACCCTGTCTCTTATACACATCTAGATGTGTATAAGAGACAGATATAAGCCCTTATTAACTTTCAATTTTAGACAATTTGATGTAAGAATTTCCTCTCTAGCTTCAGCCGTTTGGCCTCCACGGACCAACTGGCAAAAATTTCAATCGGCTTTTTCTCTGCGAAAAAAAAATATAGAGCTTGTTCGTAAAATTATTCTGAAAGAAGAAATTTTTTTCTACAATCTATCAAAAGTGCAAGGTGCAAATAATTTTTTTTCTAATTTTAAAAACTTGTCAAAAATTTTTTCAATTTTTTCCCTGAACCCTCGTGGGGGGCACATTTTTCGGCGGTTCGGGTCAGGATGCTCGGGAAAAGTGATTCAATCTTTTAGAAGAAAAACGCACCAAGATTGAAGCGCGTGCGAGGTCTGGTTGATTTTTGGTGATTTTTTGAAAAAAGTCACTTTGTTTGGGGAATAGTGTCTTCCCCATGGGGAATTTCGGGAATCGGACTCCTGATTCGTCAATAGGGAACCGAGCTTGATTTTTAGCCTAAATTTCAGCTTCCTGGCAGGCCTGGAACATGGTGAATGGCGCCAAAAGTACAAATTTCGTGAGAGGTAGGGAGATGGTGAACAGACCTCGTCATCGTCCTCATTAGATGAGTTACCGATGTGCGGGATTTTGTCTTGGTGGTTTTCTACGAAAATTTTTTCGGGGTCCCACGCGTGTAACAAGGAGGCAATGAAATGGATGGATCAAAGTTATGTATTTATAGCCATTCAACTGTAATATTTCAAACATTCAGATGTTTGCCTACTATACACGATGTGCAACGCAAAGATCATTCAAAGCATTTCAACTATACCGCAGTATTTCTCCTCTTTTACGAAAAATATCAAGTAAAGGCATTTGCTCATGAAACCTAGAGTTTACAGTTCGTCACTGAGCGAAGTCACACGTTATATCAACGACCAAAGCATCAATAACTACAATATAACATTTATAAGGAACAGTTTTATGATGTTTCAAGAACTAAACATCTGCTGACCTGCAAGGCTGTCGGTACCGTCAGCCTGGTCCAGGGCGCGGCGCTTGTACGTCTCCTTGACGAAGATCAGAGGGATGATCGTAAGGGATGTGCACGCCACCAGCACCCCGTTCACCCACACGTAGCCTGCCAGATGGACGAATAGTTATGCAGATCAATGATAATAACATCAAGAAGAAGCATGAGTGATGCTCGCATTATTACATGAACGAAAGTATCAGTAGTGAATACAGCCAACTTCGAAATACTCCAAATAATTTATGGTAGTACAAGAACTACTAAAGCTCAACACTACACATGGAAGATGGAGTCATATGCTTCTTGAGTTGAGACGGAAAGAGGAAGAGATAGAACAAGAAGAAATAAAATAAATTAATAAAATTCCCGCGACGAGGGGATGGGTAAGAAGTAGAATAATAAGAAACGTAAAAAATAAAACTCAGTACTCACTGCAGTGAGTGACAGAGCGCATTTTCTCGTCGACGAAAACGTGAAATCAAGGACAGACGGACGGACGGACGGACGGACGAACAGACGGACAGACGGACGGACATGACGAACACAATAGGGCATTTTTTCCTTAATAAGAAGCGTGAAAATAGAAAACTCACACTGCGAGGGGATGAGGAAGAGCAGCAGGAAGATGGCGCTGACGACGTTGAAGCTGCCGATGATCATGACGCCGACGACGCTCTCAGGGCAGGGGTACGCGAGCTCCACGGCGAACTCCGTCAGCAGCGGCACCGTGGCGTACTGCAGGGCCACGCCTCCCGCCACCGAGAGGTACACTTGCACTGTGGACGACAGGGGACATTGGATATTAGACATTAACGGTACACTTGCACTGTGCACGGCAGGGGACATTGGATATTAGACATTAACGGTACACTTGCACTGTGCACGGCAGGGGACATTAACGGTACACTTGCACTGTGGGCGGCAGGGGACATCGGACATTAGACATTAACGGTACACTGCACTGTGGGCGGCTGGGGACATTGGATATTAGACATTAACGGTACATTTACACCAGAACATTGGTAAAGATTTGTCAAATTAGACCTGAATATACACTTGCCCTGTACGAGTGGTATGGGCCACCCCAATTAAACTGTAAATTCATCCTTGCATTGAGAGCTCGGCAAGGACCTTGACATCAGACTTTAAGTCTGCAATTGCCCTCTCCACACAGCTTCATTTATGGGTAAAGTAATAAGCCTAAAAATTTTATAAATTCAAAGCAAACGACTTAAATATAAACTCGTGTCGCGTGTCTTGAGTGAACCCATCGGGAGAGTCGGTGGATTTGTGTAGTAAGTTCACTCGCCGAGCGATGAAGGGATCACACCAACAGAGAAGTAATGAAATGATGATGTTGTGGTGAGATAATGTTAAGTCATTGTGATGGATTTATGTGTTGTGTTCACTCACCGAGCGAAGAAGGGATTACACCAACAGAGAAGTTATGTTATGATGATGTCGCGGTGAGATAATATTAGGTCATTGTGTTATATTTATGTGTTTAGTTCACTCACCGAGCGATGAAGGGATTACACCAACAGAGAAGTTATGTTATGATGTTGTTGCAGTGAGATAACGTTATGTCGTTGTGATGGATTTAGGTCTTGTGTTCACTCACCGAGCGATGAAGGAATAACACCAACAGAGATGAGCAGGAACCACAGGAAACAGACTGACGCCAGCGCGAGCAGCACGATGATGGTGAGCTTTAGGTAGCCGAAGATCAGGTCAGTGATGCGGGCCGCGATGAAGGCGGTCGCACACGACAGCAGCACCGCCGCCATCGCCACGAACATCGCTTCTTCCTGAACAATTCCGACAGTCGAAGAGGATTATGTTCTTCAGGAATGCTGTTTTTAGCGCATTTTCTCATTTATGGAAAAAAATGCACTATTGTGCTCGCTATATGACCGTCTGTCTGAACTCTTCGTCTGTCCGTCCGTACTTGACCTCAAGTTTTGGTCGACGAGAAAATGCGCTCTCTGTCACTCACTGCAGTGAGTACTGAGATATATTTTTTTATATTAGGGATCCTCGTTCAGAAAAAATCCATCGGTTACATAGGATGAGGTAATCTAGGCAGAAATAGTTTTATTTTAGATGTTCGTTACCGGGGAAAAAAATTTATTTTACGCCCGTAAAGTTTAATTTTTATTATGTTCTTCACTCGTCGCGTACTATGAAACTGATTGTATTAATTTTTTGTTCTATTTTCGTGACACACACAGTAAATGTTAGTGATAGTGATATTATTTGTTTAAAGTAGTCAATTTCTTTCGTTGTTCACGCACAGAGGAGGACGAAACTCACACGACATCGACTTCTTAGTGATGGAAGTGCCTTAAAAAAACTGAAAGCAACATTCCTGGCTCATTAATTTTAATGCGCTAATTATATAAAAATTCCGGTCCGATCAAACGCTAGGAGTATCGTTTTAACAAATATTTCGGCGTACGTAAAATTCCGCCTATGACTCGATCGCTATACTCGCATAAAGTTATTGCGAGTATTTCACTTGGCCAATGAGGAATTCATAATACGAAGTTCATATTAGCTGACCAAAAAGTTCACAATACCTGACCAAGAAGTCCATAATACCTGACCAAGAAGTTCATAATACCTGACGAAGAAGTCCATAATACCTGATCAATAAGTTCATAATACCTGATCAATAAGTTCATAATACCTGATCAAGAAGTTCATATTACCAGACCAAGAAGTTCATAATACCTGACCAAGAAGCTCATAATACCTGACCAAGAAGCTCATATTACCTGACCAAGAAGTTCATAATACCTGACCAAGAAGTTCACAATACCTGACCAAGGAGTTCATAATACCTGACCAAGAAGCTCATATTAGCTGAGCAAGAAGCTCATATTACCTGACCAATAAAGATTTTATATCACCTGACCAATAAAGAGTTTATATTACCTGACCAATAAAGAGTTTATATTACCTGACCAATAAAGAGTTCACATTACCTGACCAATTCCGATGCAGCAGAGAGAGAAGTTCATGACGGCGACCCAGACAAGAGGTACACCAACGGAGAAGGCATACGTCAGGACCAGCAGCATCAGCTGCGGGTCTCTGGTAACAAAAAACACGGTAAAGTTTCTCTGTGCCAAGCAAAGAGCCTACATATAAGGGAAAAATTGACTGAAAATATAATAAGTTGACGACTTCTCCTAGTAATATTAAGAGAATTTGCGCGGAAATTTTTCCTAATATTTTAATTAGTGAAATATGATCTTCTTATGATAAATAATGTTTTGTGCTACTTTTTAGCAAGTTAAAACCCATATATCTCGTGAAATTTAATTATAGACCTTATTTTTAATTTCTTTGATTCACGCAAAATATTCACGTAGTCACATTCGTCACAGTCAATAACACTTACGCAAACCTTCCGTATGACCGCTATCATTTGTCACAAATGATCAAGTCAACATGGTTCTTTTAAAGAGTTTACTACTTGAAAACCTACGATTACCGCTAAAAAAATGATCGAGTCCATATAGTTCTATATAGATTACTACTAGAAAAACCCACTTGATTGTCGCTACCATTTCTAACAAATGATCGTGTTCACATATTTTAAAAATAACTTTACTACTTGCAAAACCTACTTAATGATCGTCTTCATGCCCGCGAAGTAGTCGAGCCTTTCCTCAGCTGACGAGGGCGAGGGCGGATGAGGCGGCTGCCTTGGGAAGTACGCCACGGCCAACAGGAACAGGAGGCCGGCAATCCCGGCATCTGCGATGAAACGAACATTCCGAGTGGAATTACGAGGACATGTATAATAACTCAAAATCAAAAGACTCATAGTGAGAGAACTCTAGTCTTTGCACTAGCATGACCATTTTCGGGCACTGAAATTCTAGTACGTTGAAGTTTAGCATCAGGAATATCCTAGATAATAGCTTTCGCTGATGTATCACGAGAAATTTAACTAAAACATCGCCTCGAAATCTATTTCTAAAATACTCACATATATACATGAGATTCATGATGTCCCCATAAACATCATTAGGGGTGACGTGAGAATCGTATGTGGTCTCCCGTTCTTCCCCGTCCTGTGCGGTATAAGGTCCGCTCCTGAACCGAAGTCCTGTATTGTCGAAAACTTCGGTGGCGTCATCGCTGTGGTTACTCTCTGCCGGGAAACTTGACTCTGGATAGCCATTCGGAGGCAGGATGCTAGTTAAATTCATTCCTATGTTTTGGTACCTTGGTTCCACCGGATAGGAGCTTTGATCATTAAAACCATCTTTTGGTTGTTGATTGGCGTTGTAGGTTTGACCGAATCCTGGATTCGAAGCAGCAGATAAATTTTCTTGATTGTTTTCGTAGGGGTTAAACTTATATACACCGCCAGGTGTTCGTGAATTTTGAGAGTCAAGAGAAGCCGGGGAATCGGCTTGATAACCATATTCCTGACTTGGATTTCCTTGGTCGCGATAGTTAGGATCACTCCAACTTTGGTCGTTCGATGGATTCATTCGATTGCTTCCGTACGGATCGTACTGAAAACGTTTATCTCGATTAGGATGATCTTTGTAAAGACCATTATTGTACGGACCGTCTTGATTACGACGGTCATCCGACTGACTTCTAGGTTTCGCTTGATTTGGATCTGCGTAATTGTCACTACCTTGGTACTGGTCACCAGAGTTCGGCGAATATTGGCCTCTTGAGGCCATATTGGAATGTGATTGATAATGATCGTCGAGATAACGATTACCTTGGTATCGATTAATACTGTTGGACGGATTTTTGCCGTTAGGCTCCATTTGTTCATTGGGATCGTCAAGGCTTGGACGACTGTCTTGGAAACGACCGTCGGGGCCATACACATTATCTCCACTTGAAGATGAGACGAAAGCATTAAAGTTATTCCCTCTTGACGGGGTCCCAGGAGTATCTGAGCCTTGAATGTCGTTTCTGTCCGACGATTGTGAGTCAGCAAATCCAAATCTATTTGATGAATAACTTCCGTCGTCCGAGAGCTGACGATCGTCCAGCTGAGTCGATGGTCGCCCGTAAATGCCAGACGTAGCAACTGCTGGTGTTGTGACTGACGATGGTTTGTTGTACTTGTCCAAATCTTCGTCGTTGTACTGAGCACTTCGAGACAGCCTTCTGCGAACTGGTCCAAGAGGTCCATCCACCACTTTTTGCTTCTTTAATTCACTGGTTTTTGTTCGAGGATTTGATTTACTGAGCAAGTCACCCTTGCTAACCACGTGTACAGGATTTGCCGCATTTGGCGACGCCCCGCTTTTGATAGCTTGTGGTGAAAATCTCTTGTGCCGCGACTCAATTTTACCGGAATTATTGAAAGAGTTTGCCCAGTATCGCGACTCAACTTCACTGACAGCATTTGGAAGTAAAAGATCTCTTTCACTTCTCTCAGATCTGACTGAATTTCGACTGTACGAAGAGCATTTATTTGGATCATCGCCAGCCCTGTCAGGGGCTCTCACCAGCAGTGGCTCAAGATAGATTACGGCTGACCCCAGCTGGCTAAACAGCGCGGCAACGGCTGTCACAAGGCAAATTCAGAAAAAAAAATTTGAATGAACAAAAATTAAAATACATTCAAGAAGTTATGATGGTAAATTAATTCTATGAATAAATTTTCACGCACAAACACTTGACCAATTTGTACACTATGTATCTCATGCTAAACTATTCATAATCTAATCATGCAAAAATTAATCACTGCACTCGTTGTTTCAAGCATAAATGAAAACATTTCATTTCACCCACGAAGTCAAATGTAATTTCCCTATACTTTGAAAGACAATTATGAACTGAAAATACCATAAAGGTTTAATTTTGGCTCCCCGCTAAATTTATCTCAACTCTCCATATCAGCTGGCAGGATCACATCCATTGCCGATGTGTGGTAGGGAGCAGAACAAAATTATCTCATAAGAAACAAAGTAAGCTTAATTTAGTCGGCCTAAAAACCCATAAATAAAAGATATTTATTATAATTACTGTGTAGTGAACCCTCTTTAAGATCCAAGGAGCTAATTAGTTATTTAATACATTAACAAACTTATTAGCGGCGCCTTGCCTGTCACCCAGGCATGTTTGCGTGTGATGAATGAATGCTGATTCGATTATCCCTATTTTCATGCCAACCTCTATATCGTTATCATATCTCGTAATAAATAACTATTCTTCATCGTACCCTCATTATGTCGGGTATCAATAACTATTTTTCGCCCCATCCTCATGCCTATGTCATAGATTTATTAACCAAGTGGAAGAAAAATTTAAATGTTCAGCAGGAAATCGCATCGAAAGCCATCAGAAATCTCTTCATTAGCCATTTGCATAGAAAATATAGATAATTAAAATCATAATCAACATTTTGTTAATATGATAAACGATTTTTACGCTGTCCTTAAATGTAAGTCCCAAGTTACCAGTGGCAGTCGTGCGTTCGTTGGCAGGGAACCACGTAGCCGCCACCATCGCAGGCAATGAGAGCGTCAGACAGCCGCTGATTCCCGCCGATATCGCGCACATGTTTGCCAACCTGCAATGAAAATGTTTTATTCATGGCCGCCTAACTAAGTGCATAATAGAAATATAAATGTCATTATTCTAAAGTCAATTCTTTTAGTCGTTCTCTCAACAAACTTTGTCATTTCCCCAAATTTTGAATCAGGACCTGAAAGGAACATCGGTGACCACATGAACAAGGCATGAACAAAACTCGTCGAGTAGTACCAAAAAAATTCATTGAAGCGAGCGTCTAATATAGTATATAATATACCATATGATATGATATATAATATATAATATAGTAGATAATATAGTATATAATCTAATATAGGAGAATATCAGTTACGTCAACTCACACTGTGAAGCCAATCTCATTGACTGGGATGCAGCGTAGGAGCGTACCCGCCAGTATCAACGATGTCGCGGTAATAACTCCAACGCGCAGGCCTGGAATGATTACAGTGAAATAATCTCGTTTAGTAATTGAAGTAAAACTTGAAGCAATAGTCGCGTTAGCAATAGTCGCACAATTATGCTATAAACCCAAAGACCTAATAGTTTTAGAGGGTTTCGCCATTTCTTTGCTTTTGAACCTCGACAGCAGTGCAGTATTTCAGTGGAAAGTCAGACTTTTTTCTGTTCGGGAAAAAAAATTACCACTAAATTTCTGGTGGAACCGTACCTTGGTAACTCAACCGCCGTATTGCTCACAAAATTTCTGGTTGAACCACGCCAAGGGAACTCAGCCGCCATATTGCTCACCGAACTTCTGGTTGAACCACGCCAAGGGAAATCAGCCGCCGTATTGCCCACCGAATTTCTGGTTGAACCACGCCAAGGGAACTCAGCCGCCGTATTGCTCACCGAATTTCTGGTTGAACCACGACAAGGGAACTCAGCCGCCGTATTGCTCACCGAATTTCTGGTTGAACCACGACAAGGGAACTCAGCCGCCGTATTGCTTACCAAATTTCTGGTTGAACCACGCCATGGGAATGATGAACAGGATGACACATATCGGGCCCCAGCTGTTGAACAGGGAGATGGTACCCGACGTCCAGGATGGGAACGCAAATTTGGCGCTCTCGTAGATTGGGCTCCACGTGCCCCACACTGCGCACTGACAACACAAAACTTGTTGTATGTGTTGTATCTAATATAAGTTGTTAATTCTAGTATTATTTTAAATTTTATTAAACCATATATGCACCATTAGTGTAGTATGGCAATTTTTTTAAAGAAGCAATTTGTATTTGTGACTCAACATGAAAATCGCGAAAACTAAAGTTGGAGTTGGTTGCAATTAGGTGAAAATAAACTAGATACCAATGGTCTTTTGAGTACGATTTTTTGACGGTATGAATCCCGTAATATGACTTCGGAAATGTTATGTTTTTGGAATAACTACCATGAAAATCGCAGTAAAAAATCATAGCAAACAGAAAAATTTGCATTCGATGTAGTGAATAAACTTGTGTTAAACAGTTTCTGAATGTATAATCTGAATAGCAGGGAAAATTTTATACGGAGCAATTTGCAGAATTTTAGCGCAAAAAATGCCCCGTGACACACAGAACTTGAACACAAAGGAACAACTCTGACGCGCTGGCCGCTGAATTGAGAGCCACCTTGTCTATACAGGGTCAAGTGTTACGCTCTGCTTTTAAAGGCTCCGACTTCAGTGGCATCAATTGTAAGAGCGTGAGAGCTTTACTGTGCGTGGTAAGCTACTGCTACACACCTCACACTTCGGAGTATAGATACGCCACTCGAGATGATTTCATTTTAGCTGATTAACATAGTAATATTATACTATTCAAATCTGCCCGACGTCGTGATTATTTTTTTTTATAAAAATCGAAATGTTATCCTACATTCTTGTACACACTGCCATCACTTAACTTCTGTGTTTATTATGCGTACATGAGTAGAATATAAAACTTTTTTTATCCTGCATTAATGCACAAAATATGAGAGCTATTTGAGGAAGTTTCGGGGTATAAACTTGATATGTTTTCTACAACAATCGTGGGTAAACTGCTTGCAGTGAAGAAAGGAAGGCGTTCTGTTCTGTTGTTAATTTTACAATTTCCATTGGGAACTGAAATTGTTAATTACGCAATTTCCATTCAGTAATTAAGAAGTGCGCTTCCAAACATGCATGGCGAAGGTATGATCCGAGGGCACTAAGCAATTTTAATTGGAACGTGCGATGTTCATTGCGTTTTGTATAAATAAAATTCATTCTGCCGGCGACCGTGATATTGATATAAGCATTCCGTTAAGATTCAACATAAGGTTACGATGAAAATAACAATTCTTAGTATTTGATGCCTCCATCCGCCAATTTGTATGGATAAAAAATTATTTTAGATATGTGTAAAAATTTAAAAGATAGTATTAAATTTCTAAACAAATAAACTGGTTTTTTCCATTGGACGAAGCAATCGTCAGGTAATAATATGTTAATGTAAATATGAATTAATAGTTTCTCACCTGCACCATGGCGACGAGTGAAAAGACCGACAAAATATAGAAGCGAGTCCAGTAAGTCTTCGTATAAACTGGAACGCCAGAAGTCCTGGATAATCTTGAAACTTTCGAAGACCGTCTGGACGGTTCTTCTGGCGTTGCATTTTCCAAGTCCGTGTTTGGATCAATTTCAGATTTCTTTGTTTTCCATCCAAAAGAACGGATGGGACTCTTTCTTCTCGGTTCGCCAGCTTTCCCGTTTTCCAGTCCATTTTCGAGGCTTTTGGTCCCGTCATTTTCCGTCTGTTTTGAAGTGTCTCCGGTGCTTTTATTTTTCCTAAAGCTTCGATAACCTTTGTCTTTTCGGACGTCGACCGTCTCCTGTTTGGGAGTTTGATTTTCTAATTCAATAGGACCATCTTCTGTTTTCTTTGTTCTCCATCCAAAGGGTCGAATGGGATTGTTCCATCTGGACTTTTCACTGGGTCCGTTTTCGAGTTCATTTACTGTACTTTTGGGATCTACTGTCTGCTGTTGAACTTTTTTATTTTTGTTCTTTTTTGAACTTCTGGTATCTTCAATTTTTCGAGCGCTTAACAGCTGCTGATTTTGGGATAACTGTCTTGTGTTTCTTCCTTTAACTTTAGTGGGAGTTTGCTGTGCTCGTGCATTAGTTTTATCTTCACTCTGTAAAAAGTTTAACCTCATCAGAGAGAGATCTTGGGACGCAGAAACATCATGTGCAGAAACTGCAATATTGCTTGTCACTGGACTTTTCAGATTAGGGTCCAACTGCGATAACCTTTCGCTGCTTTCGCTCTGGTCGAGGTTACTATGACTCTCACTGAGAATATCGTTTGGGAAATTTTGGTTTGTAACTTGATTATCATTTTGAAAATCAGTGTTTATAACACCAACATTATGAGGAATCACGCAAACTTCTTTTGGAGTTGATTGGCGGCGTCCGTCTGTCACTAAGCTGCGCCGATATTCTTGGAAGCTTTCACCAGGCGATTGGACAATGTCAGTGCATCCCAAGTTGTCAACACCTCTTGGAGGCGAGACAGCGTTTTTATCCATCTCGGTTGCTGTTACCGGAAAGTTTTTATTTGTTGCATTTATTTTCTGGTGATTCTCTAATGAAAAATTGGGAGCTTGTGCGAAACCACCTTCTGAATCAGAACTAGTACAATAATCCTCTTTGCCAGCCTTTTTTAGTTTCTTGCGAGTGTTCAACCGTGTGTTGCCAGATGATTTGGAAGGAGTTACATGTTCAAAAGCTGATGATATTTTCTTCTCAATGTGATGCAAAGATTCGATATTTTCAACGGAAGAGTAGTCAGATACGAGTTTGCTTTCCAAGTGGAGGGCTTCGCCTTTTGATGAACTTGAACTTCTCTTTGAACACTCATTCAGTTTTTCTTCTGAAACGTAATCGAACACAATATTTTCTATCCCTAATTTCTGACACTGATCGCTTTCAAGATTCTTGAGTCGCGTAAGGAGGAAAATATCATCAGTATTTGTATCGCGTACATCGCCTTCTTTGTCATTAGAATCACTCTCGTAAGCAGAATTCACCAAACTAGAAGTTTTTGCAATATAAATCGGTGGATATTTGGGTTCCTCTCTCGATTTTTGGTTATCACCACCTTGTCTAGTTACGGTATTCCCAAAACTCGCAGATAGTGGCTGAGATTTACCAGGCGCTTCTTCACTCCCAACCCGTCCTGCGGTGGCCTCAGCGCCAGCACTGAGCTTACGCATCGCCAACTCCTCATTTTGTTCCACTTCTGTCACGTTGTTAGCTTTGAGTGAGGCTGAGTGATAAGGTACACTCTGATTATATCCTTCCGAAAGCAGTGAAACAGTCTTATCGTGAGTCTCAGCGTTGTCGCTCTGTTCTTCAGTGCTTTTGCTTCTAACGAATGCTAACTGACCGCTCAAACGATAGTCAATGCCGGTAGATGAGTTGGATGAACACTGAAGGTCGATGATTGCCACTTGATCTGCATCCGATAACGAGAAACCTGAAGGGTGGCCGTGATTCAGGTTAGCATTCTGCTGGCTTGCGCGTTTATCTTTTTGATTTTCTGCAGGCTGCTGCATGCTTGGTACTGGTGGTTGGGTTGAATATCCTTCTTGAAACTGGTTTTCATGTTTTTGATTAACAGAAGTTGGGAAGCTCGAGCCAGAAATCGGATTTTTAGAGCCTTGATTATCCAGTAATCCACTGCTTGTGCCCTTCGACGGTAAATGAGTGAGAAATGGTTCATGGTTTTGTGACCCATACAAAGGACGACGATTTCCAGCTGCTTGAGATGATAAATTCACTTGATCGATGCCAGTCGCTTTCTGATCATTTCCATGGTTCAGCCACTCATTCTTAAGTTGGCGATTTATTTCAGAGTATGTAGATTCAGTCGGATTTCTCGAGTCAGTATTTTCAACTTTCTTATTCTTCAATATGTCATTCGCACTAATTTGAAAATTATTTCGAGAATTTTGATTCACGGATCCATCAACTTTGATTCCGTTCAGTTTTGACGGAACATTGTTATTCTCACCACCGTAGGAGTGTGAAAACTGAGGGTATGCAGAATGCAACTCGGTCTTCGGCTGGACAACGCCCTGCCCTGTTTCATACTTCCGATAATTGAAATTCTTTTCACTCTTTAGCCTATTATCTCCCAGTACCAGCGCCCGCACGATTTCTTCATCTGGTTGCCTTCTAGTGTTTAATTGACTGACAAATTGATTCCCATCCTTCGTGTCAGAACAGCCGTTGTTTTCTCTTTTGTAAATTGACAATGGAGGAGAATTAATCGATCCTAGCGACTCATGACTTTTTGGAGATTCTCTTTTCTCCATACTAGTTGGTTGGACAGTATTATGAACAAATTTATTTGAATTTTCTTTCCCGTACGAGACGCCGTTGGCAAAATGTACGATGTTGTCCAATGAACTGATAGACCTGCCATTGCTTCTCATGTTTAACTCAGTGGGTTTCGTTGTCGAAACATTCGTGCGGACGATCAAGTTTCCGCTAGACTTTGAACGCCCTGCATTCTGATACCCCGCAGGACTTCGCTGGTTCCACCCTTGAACTTGATTGTTGTATGCATTTTGTTCTGCATCATATTGTTGTTTGGATGAACTCGAATCAACATCACTTATTGAAGTTCCTATGGAAGATAGAGAAAGCTTTGATTTTCTTGGTGCGGCAATTGGGATGTTCTCCATAGAAGCAGCTGAAGACGTATATGGTGGGGATGGTGGGGTGTATGGTGGAGGGTAATCATTAACCGCTTCAGCAGTAGGTACTTCGAAATCTAAAAGATATCTCACATGTTTCAGACCAGAAAGAGATATCGATGACGGAGCTCTGGGAGTCATTTGCAAATTGGTAGTTTGAGACGACTTATTCAACCTGTTCAGATTTTCCAAACTCTTTGAAAAAGTGGTTTGGTTTATGCCATCTCTCGAATTGGCATTTTCAGCACTGAATTGACAGTGCAAGATGTTTGATGTCGGCTTTGATACGTACGGACGAGGTTTTTGGCTTTCTCTGCATTTAGTTGGAGGCGGCTTGTACACTGACAAACCTTGACGTGGGTATGGAAGACTGGGTGACCGCTGGCGAACAGGGGTTGACGCTCGTGGGGGACTTTTATTAGATTCGGTAAATTTTAAAATGGGTTTTTCACCATCCGAGTTATATTTGAAAGAAATTAGAGATGTCTTTGAATCCTGCCGAGGCAAATCTAGTATCCCAAGGGAAGATTCAGAGCCACTGGAAGCTATGGATAGTGATCTTGGAATCGGCACTGGAAAACCTTTTAACGGCGTTTCTAGATCATTCTCGTAGTTGGATGCCATTGAGTCTATATCTGTTTCTCGAAAATCATATTGATAATTCTGCCCGCTCAGAACATGTTGCAAAGATTTTGAAAGGGGCTGGGTATATGTTTTCGAAGGAGACAAAGATCGACATTGTTTGCTTGAATCTTCTTTCTGCCTCTTAATAGGGATCCGGCTCGGACTCACTCCCCTTGCTGATTTTCTTGATTCTCTTTGCTTGTCGTAAATTTGTTCATCTGGGTTTGAAACTATTTGTTTGACTTTGCACATGTCATCTTTCAAGAAATCCGATCGGCGGGATCTATGATCCATTCTTTCTGGCGAAGAATGCGGAGATTCAGATTGTGTACGGACTAGTTTCGCTTCACATACCGTCATACTTATGTTTTCAGAAGCAAGTGATTCTGTTGGTTGCTGTTTTTTTCTACGGATAGAAGTCGGAATCCGCGAAGGAGAAGTTCCTCTTGGAAGAGGGCGCTTCTTATTTTCCCTTTCTTCAGGTGAGTTATTACCAGGCAGTTTCTTCGCTACTGATGATTCATTTGGCGAACCAACAGAAACTGCTGGCAGTGGAGAGCCTTCCTGTCTGCCTTTGGGAATTTCTTTTCGGAATGATGATCGAGGAATCCGTGAAGGTGACACTCCTCGAGTGGTTGACCTCTTTAAAACGGAGAAATTTTCGTGCTGTTCTGAGTTTTTTGACTCAACTCTTGGCCCATCAGCTTGTTGATGAGCTGACCGTTGTGTGCCTTGCGCGAGTGCGTTGCTGTTGTCCGACCCTCTCGGCCGGCTAGGTTTCGCAATATTTGCAGCCGTTGATCCTTTAATTGGTATGCGCGACGGAGACGTGCCCCGAGGTTGGACTCGTTTCGCCCCAAACGCAGCGCGCGTACCTTCCTCTTGATGTTCATTTTGTGGTGCTACGGACTGCTTTTGCGGAACGTTCGATGACAGTGTAAGATTTCGTCTAGCAAATGTCGAAACTGAAGCTTGGCCTGTAGATGGAGATGGCCGATTGCAATCAGGTATAGCAGCCTGATATTCATCTATTCGAGTTATTTGATCACTTTGAGGATACTGGATGTAGGATGGAGTTGGTGAAATCAAACGTTGAAGCTGATTTGGAAATGTACCTAATCTAGACTGCGGTGCAGGCTGGGAAGGTGGCCCAATCCTACGTTGCGGTGAATACAAATCACTCCTGCCTACGTCTGAGACGTGCTGTTGATTGGCAGGCGACGCCGGTTGACTTTGTGTTGGCCATGACGGTCTTCCAGTTTGTGTTATGTGCAATCCCCCTCTTAGAGGCACTTGAGGTGGTGGTATGTCTTTAAGGACTGGAGTCTCTTGAGCTAAAGCATATGACCTCCGCTTGTGGAAATTTAGGTCATCCATTGTATTCATTGTCAGAGTTGTAACTTAGTCCAAAACGAGACAATTTTTCCATAATTTGTTCATCCGTCTGCCGAAATTAATGCGTTTCTTCGCGAAAATATGACTCGAACTCTATTTGTACTGCCATTTTTCTCGTAGAAAATGTTGCAAAAAAAGAGCCCATAAGTCGTGCATAACCTGAAAAAAGACGGCAATTGAACTTTCACATTAACTACTAATTTGCACATAAGTTTAAAATCTAAAATTAACCAGTTCTAGCTACATATATATTTCTGTGTTCAATGCATAATCGGTCGAAGTTCTAGGTCGCAACGGGTCTCTCGGTCAGATGCACATACGGTCTTACTTTCAGTTGAAGCATGCAAAAAAAAATCGGGCATAGCAACGCAACTCTTATAAATTCATCTTAACTCTAACCTGTTCCATTCAGGGGGAATAAAAAAATGATGAACTTTTGAAGGTCGCTGTCTGTATTACGCAGCTAAACCTGTTTTTCCTCACCCAACTATAGAAGGTGTGTCGGGTTTACACACGCGGTACGCACGTCCGTAGGCTATATACGCGCTCATGTGTATTGGGGTATCTTCAACAGCATAGAAATGATTGCCGTGTTGTTAGTCTATTCTTGACATTTTTTCCCCAATAAAATTTTTTAATGTGTAGTTTAACTCATAGAATCAAATGAGGGAAACTGTAATACATGAGAATAAATGATATTACTAGTATGTACATGTATGATAGTAAATAGTAAATACTACAGCTGCATGAGCACTAATATAGCTTAGTGACCTCTAGGAGAGAGCTCTAGTGATCTCTAAAATAGAGCTTTAATGATCTCTAGAAGAGAGCTCTAGTGATCTCTAAAATAGAGCTTTAATGATCTCTAAAAATATAGCTCCAGTGATCTCTAAATGATTTTGAAGGGAAAACTGAACATGTGGGAAATGCTAGAAAAAAATGCCCACTATAAACAGACTGTCTTCAATTATATATGATTTTCCATGAGTAATCATGCTTGTTGACAATTTCTATAGTTAATCATGTTTGTTGACCATTTTTATAGTTAATAAACGGTTTTACGAAGCCGACAATGAGTGGTCAACAAACCCTGACTTATTTATCCTCTCCTGAAGCTCATTGTGGCGTTAATACATAAAGCCGTTTACACAGTATATGTGCGGAAAGCGTTCATTACACAACCGGGAGCTGCTAGAAAGTGATAATTGAAAATACATCATCGTGAGCACGCGTTACAAAGTCAGCTAAGGATTATATCACACACCGAAAAAATTAACGAGGTTTTGTATTCATCGCACATGTATGCGGTTTTCTGGTCTACAAATCCAATCAACCTTCATGATGTACGTCAGTGATCAGATTTACCATCCACGAGAATAAAAAGAGGATAAATATTCTTCAAATGGCATTGGATTTGCAAAAAAATATATATTTCGAAGTGGATCAGAAAATCACAAAAATTTATCCCATGAAATAAACATAATTTATTATAATTAACGTATACATTTTTATTCCGGTTCAAGTTTAATGTTTAGGCTTTACAATGGTAGTCAAATTACCGATAATTTCACCACCAATACTTCCTTCCACATTACAGAGTCCCGTAAAAGTTTAGGTTCTCATGTTTGCACCGTCTTCATATACTGGACGCTAACCGTCAAATATGAAGTTAACCGTCACCGCTAACTTCATGTGTCATGTCTCAAAAAAATACACCGCACGCATGAACAACACATATACACGCATGAGCAACACATATACATGTGTTAACAACACACATGTATGTGTGAACAACATACAACACGCGCCGCTGGACTCGGAACACCGACTGAAGCTGCAGTCTTGCCTTGCCGAGAAGTTTGGAGTGCCGGCGGTGACCTCAACGTACGCATGGCTGAGGAGGAGAATGGACAGAAGGATCCTGGTCACTGGTAATTAAATACAGAATTGTCCGCTGGGATGGGGCATAAGTTATCTCAATGACCCAGGCTTATTGCATTTTAGTAGTGTGCATAATAGTGCATAATAATCAGTGAAATTTTAGTGTACTGCAGATGAAAGCTTTGTTTTGAAAATGGGCAAAATCTTCATGAATGTTTTTGAACTCCTTTTAGACGTGCTTCTTATTAAAAAATTACAGCTTAATTAAGTCAAGTTAATCCGTCATCTTTTGGCTGAATTAGGTTGTGAGAGTTCGTTCTATGCTTGAGTTGTACTACATATACATATCATTGTATGTAGAAATATTTTAATGATATATTAAGTAATAAGTAATGCTCTTTCTAGAGTCAGGTTTGAAATAGAGAAAACTATAACCTACTCGTAGATCATCAATAATCTAAAGGCGATGCATTCTAGCATTTAGCTCATGTGACCGCCGAGTTCCAATAATTCGATCCAAAAATATGTTCAGGTAACTTATATACAACACACAGTTCTAGGCAACTTCAACCAACAATTATTGCATAGTTTCGTAATCCGGCCAGGCTTGGTTGAGTCGAGACCCATGATCATTTATCCGTCGTTTAGGATGCGGCACGGAGCACTGCGGCGCATGAGGCTGCATGAGCAAAACGTAGCCATGTTTGTTGCACATATCTTAGAGTCTTAGACCAACGCAATATAAACGAGTAATGTACCTACTTGCACAATCATGTAAACAAGTGACTAAGCTTCCCAATATAAACGTGCTTCTTAAGTTATGCTGCTTAATTGTTGCGGTTCGTTCTTTGTAACCTTACCCGCCGTTACTGTGGTGAATGGATCAAAGATAATCTTTGAAATTTGAAACCCCATCAGGCTACTTAATTGAGATAAATATTTAGAAATTCTTGTTGGCGATCTAATGCATTTTTCTTCCATTTAAAAAAAAAATCCGGTACAATTATCGTACTTCTGAATTACTGGAAATCGATGGAAATAAGCGACTATCTTTTTGTGTGTTGGATGATTGGATCTCTAGTCAAACTGACAAAAACAACCATATGAACCTCTCAAACTCTCTGAATTCAGTCTCATTTGCATGAAAATTTATTTTCAAATCAGACCTGAAGCAGCGATTGCGAAATCTTGCTCCTTCATTCCTGTGGTTGTGCCTGAGTCTCGTGCCCTGAATCCCTGCTGACTAAAGCAGGCTGCCAGATGATAGCAAGAAACCGGCCGAATACGCTCACAAAAAATGCCAAAATCGGCCATATTATTCACTATTTTAAAAGTAAATTTTTATTTTTGGTGTAACAATTGAATTTATATTATTTATTTTCACATTGAAAATGCTAAAATTTCAGGCCATCATAGTTTATGTAGCCAACACATTTGATAGAAAAAAAATCGTCGTGTTTGGCCGTAAAAAAGCCCATCGGCATGGCCACCTTCAATGAAGGACAGCATCTCGAAAGTCAGATTGTAGGGCTCTTGGCTTGCGCTGTTGACGTAAACCTTTTGCTGAGGCACGGCAGGTTCAGAGATATTAAAAGATTTGCCACATCGCAGGCTTGGTGCAAGTAGCATCTTAATTCGTAAACATAAACTGTCAATCGGTCAAAATGTTACGAGCTTAGCAACTCAAATGTTCCAACTGACGCAAATGAAAATGAATATTTTTATAACTCAAAAGCAATGGTCAATGCATATCAATAGTTTACATTGTCATTTAGACATTAACGTTCATCGAAACTCCGACATTAATATTATCATCAAATATAAGGCTATAGTAACGGTGCTCGTGTCATCATGAATACATAAACCAATTCATAGCCGCTTAACTTGCAACCTCTTTCATTTTTTTGCGACTGTCATCGACTGGGCACAAACGAAACATATGTTCACAACAAGTGCACGCACAGTCATCACGATTGTATCTAACAATTGTATTGTTACTTCAGTCTCTGTATGGCCACAACAAACAGTGTTAAATGCATGTTAGAACAACCACCGTAACGAACTGATGCCATTGTTTATAGGTTGTGTTAGCAGCAGTCAGAGAACGAAATTTAGCCCTAAAATTATGTAGTTCAGGTAATACAAGCTTAGGAGGGCAATCTGTGAATAAATGCTCATTATTTTTGCTAATGTGCAGCACTATTGTTGCTACTGTAATGATTAATTTTGATTTTCAATATAAAAATAATTCCACCAAAGGACCATATTTTTGGCAGAGGCAGAAGGAAATGAACAAGAAGTTGGTCTCAGACTTTTTTTAAATTACTATCATGTTGATTAAAAATATTATTGTTATGCATATATCTTTCTTAGAGCACCTTTGCTTGCTTTTTTATGCAAAATATTCAACTTGTAATAATCCAAATGACTTAGAATTATGAAATAAAAATTACGAACGGAGACTGTTGTGCGCACATAGGATGCTTTAAAAGTTTAGACTTTTAATTATAATAAAATTTATGTAACATTACTAGAAATATGACAAACACCGATGCATGGAAGTTCCATTAACGCTGACGTGCCGTGACACAGGGAAAGCCATGCAGCGAGGAAGTCGCGTTAGAGGACCACGCCTATGCAAGCAACGGCACCGTTCCTAATACAGCTCGTATCAACACTTAGTTGATGCACAACTTCTACTTGGCAAACGGTCAAAGCCCTCTACCGCAGATGCTGATATATTCATGCTAGGATTCTATATATGTACCATTTGTCACACGTATAGTTTGAAATTTGAGGTTATGAAAAATTAGTACACTGATTCGTCGAGGTGACCCAGGGTCATTTGCCACGCAATTCCATAGGAAATGAGTAAAATAATTGGGCAGACAACACCGTAACCGGGACGTTGGCTCTCAAAATATAGTCCTTTACTTTCATAAGGGTGCTCGTCAAGAACAATTCCGCCTCTGACGTTTAAGATGATGATGAGTGGCCCAGTGGCTAAAGTTCAGAGTACCAAGGTTGGAGCAGAGAGGTGCGGGTTCGATCCAGCTCTGTGCGCCAGTTGTCAGAATCGGCAAGGAGGCAGGCGGTTAAGCAGAGTAAAATTTGAAGCAGTAGTTGCGATTTCAAGCCCGCAATATGCTGTGGATTTTCTGCAATGTTAAGAATCGGCGACAGGCCTACGGCCGAACAAACGCTGAAACCGTTATATTATTTATTTTATAAAATCGTACGTATTGCAGGATATAGTCATTACAGTCACGAGATGGACAGTAGTCCCGCATCTATGGCTGTTACCACAGATGCGTCCCGCACTATCAACATTTCTGCAAATTCCTTTGCCCCGTGCAATAGCGAAATTAAAACGCAATATCCTGGCAACATAATAACGCATATTCCGCCCAATTAGAACCGTCATATGAACGCAATTAAAACCATATCATGTTAGTAACAGTCAAGGCACCGCCGCAGATGGCGTCATAAGGAATACTTTCTGGGGGCTCTGAGAAACGCCTTAGAACGCTTAACGTGACAAACTTTATATGTTTATAAAATAATTTCGTTCAGATCGGTTGAATTGGCCGAGTTTCGAGAGGTTCGGTTCCCAAATGTTGCGTTTTAATCGTCTATTTTTACAGCGTCCTCAAATGAATCCTCAGAAGTATATCACTTAGGTGTTTACAAGCTGCCTCTGATAATAGCCCTAGAAGTAGCTATTACCTCACGACGCCTGTAGTTCGATAATATAATTCATGACTACCGATACAGGTCAGCTAAATTAGCCGTAACAACACTGATGAAGCATATACTTTATATTTGTAAATGGTCAACAATATATGAATGAAATTTTCGATTGGGCGATCAAAACCAAGACTGGCTGCCGTTGACTAGTAGTCAGAAGTCGAATTTCGAATTGCGTTCAGCAATTCATCATAGAGTCATCGTAAGTAAATATTGAGTGCGCTGATTGCTTACGCATATTCGTACAGAGTAACGTATGAGAAATACAATATACTTGAGAACAATTTTTGCAGCGTAGTTTCCGCAATTAGGCACGTATGCAGCTAAAAAAATGCCTGTTAATTAGCGAACAATTTGTCTTTGTTGCTATGATCGAATGTTTTGGCTAACAGGATGCTGCAGCTGAGAAGCCCTGTTAGCTCGTTGCCAGTTTTCTCGTATACGGTTTCTGTAAATTTGTTATTCAGGGAAGGTAAAATAATACGCATCGGTAAATAAAAAAACCTTACCTGCAAAGTTGAACAGATAGTTGACCTCACTCAGTATCGTTTCGTTCCTGATTTACTCGACTGTCCTTCATTCATATAAAATTCTTGGAACTAACGCATTTATGAAATTTGTTAGCAGCTGATCGTTGAGGGCGAACTGTTGGTTGCTGATGAAGTCGAGTCTGATCTGTAGCGTTGCCTAGGTAAGTGATGGTCACTTCATAAGCATCTGAATTAAATTACTCAACAAAGAGCTGCCTTGCCAAAGGTTGAAATAAATGTTCTTTGTCCCGTCGTATATAGTGTAGACCTAACAAATTCTTTCGCCGGAGACAATGAAATCAGTATCGAGCGCAGATTTCGGTTCGTGAAACGATCAATCCCTGATTTCCTATTTTAAAGGTGAAAACGTGGTTACAAATTCGTGGTTGAATGAAACGTGGTTTAAAAATTCATTCGAAAAATTCTAATTCTGTATATGTTGCTGAAATAGTCACTTCTGCAGCGCGATTCAGAGATAGATTTTCTAATAAAATTATGCCAATTATGGCATTGTGTGCAGAGATCGCTAAATAAATTTAAATAAATAAATAAAGCAGTGTAGGAGAACACGATAGAATGTTATCGACTCAGTCGAGCAAAACGTTCTAGCGCGTCTGAGGTGGCATCTCTTATCACAGCACGTTCTGTGATTGAGCATTTAACGGCTCCAGCCATCTCCCCGCACAATTATTTATCAATTAATTATTGCACAATTATTATATCAATTTAATTATTGCACAATTATTTATCTCCGAATTATTTATCAACTTGCTTATTCTTTATGACGCTGCGTATTTTATAACTCCAACATAATATGCGATAAGTTTAGTAAGTTTAGAATGAATCGAATATTATCATTTTTTATTGGGGGGAGGGAGGGAAACGAGATATTTGAATGTGGTTAATGTTGACGCGAACATCTGCGTATTATTGTTGTATGTCTGGTATTATTTTTCAAGTGTGCTTAGTTGGAGGATCGAACAGCAGAGGAACAGAGTATAAAGAAAGACCGAAGTTAGAATATGGGATAGAAAAATACGGGTGATCGCTTCCAAAAGCTTTTAAAATTGAGAATTTGTTATGTAGCTAGTCCAATCAAGAATTTGATTAAAATAAAAAGTGAAAGCGAATTTGATATTTACATATTTTATAATGATATATACTTATCTATAATTGACAAATTTATATCAAAGTTTATAAATTGAAAACCTTGAACCATTATATAATTCATTTCCGCTGTTTCACGAATATTTATTAAACGAACACAGTTCTCAAAGCTAAGTAGAATTAAATTATATAGTATTCTTATCCTCTCTAACGCAAAAAACACTCAAATTGGGCATTTCACAACTACGCGTTAACATCACACGCATATATTCAAACACGCTTTCCACGATATTATACGCAGTGTATCGAATTCTCATTTTTTCTTCTTCCCATATTTTAGTTCTGTAATTCTAGAAAAATTTTCGCTACATTTCCAGCGATCGATTATATTTCAGTCTCTGATCCCTTTCACAGACAAATCTTAGCGAGCGGATGTCCAACATCCACGCACGCCTAACCCGAACGCTCGACTGACGCGACCAGCAGACTGGAAGCCTGCGACTGGCACTTGTACGTAGCACACCTGTGCACCGCGAACAAGTCGCTCCACGGACTTTCACTTATTGATACTAGGTAACTTTTGTTTATTGGAGATAATATAAAAGAATACATGTGTTACCAGTTCTTTCAGAAGATAGTCTAGGTTATACGTTAAAGGTAATTCTACCGCGTAATAATATTGTGCTCCCCGTAACGATTACCTTCAGTGTTACACAGATTTTTGCATTGAAAATTTTTGTTTTCAATCAAATAAGTAAAATTGTTTACAAGAATTACGTAACCCAATCAAGGCTGAACAACTATCCAACATCAAAACATTACGATCTTGTAACATAACTTTGCTGAGCGTCGATGAAGTCTTCGTTTGAATATTAGGAGCAATAATGTAATTTTCCGGCATAGACGTGATTATTAGAATACAATAGAAGTGTCGGCACTGAAGAAATAGGCCCATTGCCTGTTGCCGATTCTTGTACTTTTCGTGACTTGATTCACAAGGGATCCGGCCTTTGGAACCCGATCTTTCCATAACTGACGATTGATATAGCTGCTGGATTTCTTGCCTGGTCCGTAACTTGCTAGGCATTTTAAGACTGAACATATGCTCCTGCATAGATTCGTTTAGTATGTTCTTGAAGGCGTTCATACTCGGATGAAAGGCTAAGAACAAAAGCAATTTTGCAGCAGAGTTTATTCGTCGAGCGCAGCTTCCTCTTTGAGGAGCAGTTCGTCTATGAGGCGTTTGGCAGCCTCCTGAGTGCGCGAGTTGCCGTGCGTCTTCTCAAAAGTACGCCACTTGGAGAAGAGCGCCAACTTCTTGCTCAGGCGCATTTGCAGACAACACATTCGCGATAGGACGTTCCTGAAAACGTGAAACATTAGCGTTATATAAAATGATCAAGACATGTGAATGATGTCAATGTTCGTGCAATTAATGAATGTTTTAGGAAATCTTATCTATAATGGTCATAGTGTCGAAGCTATCAACAACCATTGTTATAGATATCATTATGAATCATGTCAACAGTCAAGTAATCATCATTTGAATATTTAACACATATATGGTTGTTGATGTCCCCTTGAACTTCAAGTGGATGGAAACGTTTCAAACGTCATATAAATGTTCTCAATAACTACAGATCAATCAGAATTGTTCCAGAATTTTTTTTAAACAAGAATAAGAACATTCCCACCTTGCTTGCTCGAAATCCTCGGTCTTAATCAGTAGGTCGGCATAGACGTTCCAGACGTCGACGCGTTTAGGGAAGTTTGCAAGCACAGACTCAAACATGCTCTTGGCTCTGTCAGCATCGCCATGTTTGTGCTCCAGTTGTGCGAAGCGACACGTCACATCCACACCTGAAATGAAGGCAAGCAAGTCAAATGATCGTTTGAGGAGTGCTTCAACGGCGTGGTTTGTACGGCGAGAAATCGAAGCCAAAAAATAAAAGGATAGCATTAGAAGAAATATCAAAGGCAAGAATATGAAAGAGATCTGAACATTCAATACTAGTTGCACACAGAAAAAGCTGAATTTAAGTTCGCACATTCATCATATGACAGGGTTGCAAAAAGCCCAGAGTTCTATACAAAAAATAAGAAAATCAGACTGAAAATGATTAAAAGCTCCGTCAGGATGGGTGAGTGGGCAGCTCCCAGACAGTTACCCTGTGCAATCCTGTGTAATGAAGATTAATAAATTCACCCACAAGAGTACACTAACACATTCACAGTTCTCTTTGGAATCGACGTGATAACCGCACTCAAAAGAACGTCGTCAACAACATCCTCATTTCACGCTCATATCAGACAGCTTGAACTTAGCAACAAGACAATGATTTTACAATAAGAAACATTTTCAAGTACTTAATTGGCTTCAAGGTGACGAGATAGCATATAAGCATGTTATACATAGCATATAAGCAGGCTACATTATTTTTTCTCAGATTTGTAAATTGTAAGCATGAACATTCACTTTTTTTTAGTTAGTACCATGCATGATTGAAAACGTAAGTATTTACAAAAGGTTGAAAAAAAACACTCTGAACAATTCAATAGAAGGAGAATTGAACACAGCTAATGACTCTCTTTCTAGAAGAGTCTAATATACAAAATTTGTAATTCACTACCGACCAAGGGAATAGAATGAAGCCATGAGTATATTTCCAGGCTTTAGATAAAGCTTGTGGTAATCTTTAGGAAAATATACACAAAAAAGTAAAACTTTCTCACCTTCCTTTTTCTTGAGAACACGCAAGGCTTTAACAAGGGTAGTCCTTGCCTCTTCAACCTGTCCCGTGGAGTAATAAAACTGGCCCTTCCGCACCCAGGCATCCATCTCGGCGTAATATTTCTTAGTGATGCGGTTGTGGATCTCTTCTGCTTTCTGAACACAAACAAACACAAATAACTTCATGACAAATTAAAAATCCATAGCTTTTTATGGATTATCTTCCATTTAATTGAAATTGGCAAAACATGAAAGTAGTAAAATATAATTGAAAGAGTCCAGGACATGAAAAGCTAAGGAAAGGATTTGAACTCAACTACGGTACTCAATTAGCATGCGGACACTCAACCGTCTAAAAGATGCTGGCCCTATTATGCAGATTTCTATGAGGATGAAACAGCTACAGGACAGACATGAGACACGTTTTTAGAACAGATTTCGCCTATTTCGCCCTAACATATTTAGGCATTAAACACATCATTCTAAAAGACGCTGGCAGGGATGAAAGAACAAATAAATTGAAATTCAATTATTATCTGGACAAACCTCATTTTGTTTACATGACCTATGTTGGCTACATTTTCAAAGCTGCTTTAGAGAAAATACAGCTACTTGACTAACATTGAGCATATCGTTCTCCTGGTAAATGTTGGCCATGTTGGTGAGAATAATAAAGTCGTCAGCATTGGAACAAGCCTCAGCCAAAGCCGTCTCAGCAGCGTTGTCAGTGGAGCCATACATAACCTCAAGGCGTAGCAATACCGTCCACAAGTTCACTCGTTCTTGTTGCTCCTCAAACGGGATCATGGACAGCCCTCTTCGCGCCGTGGCCCGAGCTCGTTCATGCTCACCAGCCTGCAACATCAGGAATGGATGAGAAAGAAAAATTAGATTTTTATTCCTATCATCATGCAGACATAATATCATGTAAAATGGGTCTGGATCATTCGAATCTATAAACAATATTTTCAGCACAATTATTCATTGCTGTGAATTATTGTTAATTTGTAATGGTAATTTGGTAAATGAGCTGATGAAAAGAAAATAACTAAAAGTTGAGTTAGAACAACCATCTTTACCTAACAAAGAAAATTTTAAAATAAAAATAATAATTAAATGATAATGTTATCCTCATTAACTAAAATCCTGGAACTAGACCAAAAAACAGAGAAGGTGCATAGTAATTTCCAATGTTTAATAAACCCAAGAAACTGCATAACTTGACCATTTCATTTCCAACGTATCAATATCAGTGAGCCTTGCACTTGCCAACCAAACCCTCCAAACCACTCAAGTGTTATGTATTATTATTTGTAAAGTGCTCAGTATTGTTAAACTGTAGACAGAAAGGTGAAACTAGACAATAGAACAATTATGAGAATACATACAGCAAGCAAGAAACTGATATACTGGATCCAGGTGGCACTGCATGCTTTGTTGGTGAGCAGCAGTTCCCTATAATCATCTTCAGTCTGTGGGCCGATAGTGTCTTTGGTGAGGCGGGAACGCTCGGCTTCTCTCAGCTGCTCTTCCAACTGCCTGGCCTCACGGTCACGTTGAGCCCGACTGACTTTGCGCCTCCTCTTCTGCTCTCCCTGAATGAATGTCAACTGAATTAACTTGAATAATAATGGATAGAAGAGCATCAAATATCTAATCAGATTAGTGAAAAACACAAAAATCTTAAAATCTCAGTATGTATACAGATGTTGGGCATGTTCACAGAACAAATGCCTCAATGTTGAGATGAAAGATCTGATATCATGAATACTTACCTTCTTAACTTCTTCCTCATCATCAGAGCTGTCCTTTTCAGGTTCAGCAATCGAAGATTCCAGAGTTAGGGTGAATAATGATGAAGGTGCAGGCGGCATAGAACACACTTTAGTTTTCTTAGATGAAATTTCCTCCTCATCGTCACTACAATCTAGGAGGCGTTTTGTAGCTTTACTGTATTTTAGCTTTTTTGAATTCATGCTGGGAACAGTAGTAAATAATATCCAGGTATATAGTTCTGAAAATATTTTGAGGTTATTTGAGGTTTTCTCTTTTATATTTATATATATATATAGTAAATTGATATCATATTTTAAAACCATCCATCACATAAAATTTGAAAAATTAGCGGTAAAATACTAATAACAATTTGCAGTAATTCATGATAGGTATGCAAGAATTTGAATTGATGCATAGTATGCTTAGGTGCAGGGTGCAGATTCTTACATCTTTTAAAACTTTGATATTCCTTCTGAAATCTATTACTACCAAATTTGCTATGTGTACTTCTTTTGAACTTGAGACCTGATATTGAAAGCTAGTGGATCTAAAATTCATGGCTTAGAAAACAAACGGCTTAGAAAACAAACTCTGCTTAGTCTTTGGAATCGACGTGATAACAGCACTCAAAAGAACGTCGTCAACAACATCCTCATTTCACACTCATATCAGACAGCTTGAACTTAGCAACAACTCCAACAAGACAATGATTTTACAATAAGAAACATTTTCAAGTACTTAATTGGCTTTAAAGAGACAAGAACTCATGTTTCTAATTTCAGATATTTTGTATTCTTTTTCCTTACTATATGCAATGAAAGACATTATGAACACTTTCGATTAGTAGGTTATTGGAGTGATTAAACTTTCAATTTTATCCTAAAAATGGGAACAAAATCTTTTTACCTTGCTTAGAAGCCATTTAACACAATAAATTACATTATTTTTGTTGAAGATACATGATATAGGTAACTAACTAAATAGCAATTTGCCATTGCAAATGATTAAACAGACTTAGCAAGCCCTGATCTGAAGAGCCATGGTAACAAATAATCATGGAAATTTTTATCTTCATAATATCTCTCTATTTCTCTATTAATACCTTTTAACGTCACATGAATCTGTGGCAAGAAATTTTGACAATTTTGGTAGTTCTGTCAACAAATCATTAATAATACCAGAATTATTTAGGTTTCAAAACCTACTTTTGGTAACACAATTGCTGAACTTGACAGAGTGGAATGCAGGTGACCAGGGTGCAGAAAGTTAGTGAATTTCAAAAGATATTTGGCAACGCATCAGCAGCAAAATTTACGCCTTCTGAAGATCTTGCCAATCAGACATGATTATCAATTGATCCCTTTTCCTTTGTGATTAGACCACACTAAGATAGGAGATTATGAGAATTCCTACTTATTTCACATGTTTTTATCCAGTGCCTAAAAGGTGTTGCATTCATGATAGAGTTTATTTTAGATAGGTATGCCAGCAAGCATGGAAAACGTCTACCCTTAGGGCCACGACCATAGTGACAATTTCACTGACAAACCAGAGATTTTCTAGAATCAGTTCATTTTTAATCTCCTATTTACTCAAGACATAGTGCTCAAGATTTAAACCAATTTCTTATGTATGATAATGCTGGTATATATCCATGATATTTTGCTTGTCTTGAGCAAAGAAAAATGAACTTGAGGGAGTGTCTAAAAAACTCTGCTTTGCCATTATAGCCCACAACTAGAGATTTCCTGCCATTTCTGGAACCATGAAATTTCCACCAGATGAATTACCTCCTATCTAGTATCCAATTGTTAACAAAGTACTCAATCGTGCCTTGAGTTTCCAAATGTCTTAAAAATTTGTCACATTGGATCTGCAAGATTTCAGGAACAAGTAGGAAAATTCCAATCCTGTATAATAATGCCTTATGCCAGGAAGAGTTGCTTTGATTTTCATGACATACCAATCATCATAGCATGCTAAAAAAAATTATACAACAGTTACAGTATGACACAATCTCAGTTCTCAGTCTTAGGTACATTATACATATATATTGAAGCCAACTGATTAAACTCACTGCCAGCAAGGTGGAATTCTAGTAAACAAAATGGTTGATCCTTTAGATGCACCAGGTCCAGGAAGGCTGGAGCCTGGAGCATTTCCATGCTATTCAATTGACCTTGACTCCTTGTGACTTGTGAGTATACATTGCAATAAATGAGATATACATATAGTGTGAACGCGGTATATTCTGACATCGTGGGTTTTTCCAAAACTTCTCAACTTTTTCCTTTGTATTAAGCTTTGTCTTAGTTCCGCACATTCGTTGATGGTTGAAATAGTGACGTCATACTATTGGGCGCCATACTATTGCCAAAACAGTAGGTCTGGGCCGTCTGGCAGGAAAATGTTAAGATCCAAAGAGAGACAGTGCACGTCACCCTGTGAGAACATCGAAAAATGTGTCAAAGTTATAGTTGAGCTTGATCTACCAAATAGTGATAAACTGTTTGTGTAGAAAGAATATTATGGTTTGAGACTTTTAAATAAGTCTGTGAATATATTAGGAATCCTTTAAGTATACCTGTATTTAAATGAACGCATGGAACTAAAACAAAGCTTAATATAAAGGAAAAACTAGAGAAGTGACGGAATTACCTACGATGTCGGAATATACCGCGTTTACCCTAAAAACTAATTCCAATTTCCAACACAGCTTGGAATTAGACACACACAGCTTGTTCTGAGCTGTGTCCAAAAATTAAAATTTTCTTAATTAAAAGCTTAATTAAAAAATTAAAATTTTTTAATTAAGCTTGTTCCGAGCTGTGTCATATTCTGATACAGCTCACACAGGGCGTCGGAATTCCAACACAGGGCGCCGAAATTACAAATGAATAGTTTGAAGAGCTGCCGCCTGCCGGAATTAGTCTCACAATGTGCCGAATTTAGTCACACACAGCATCGGAATTCAGGGATTTTGTAGGTTGGAGTTCTTTAGTTTAGGCTTTTAAATAAATGTGGCAACAGTTCGTGACATTTCATTGTTGCTGGCGCGCCGCATAGTGTGGTGTTTTGAGAGTGACATAAAGCAAACGCCACACTCAGGAAGATGTATATAAACGGGGAAATTTCTCGCGTAAATCAATCTAATTATATTTTTTTCGTGCAGGCGTTCGTGCAAATCACGGTCATTGATTCCGCGCCGCGCAGCACTCGGCGCGGGCCGCGGAGCCGTCCGACACAGTTCTGATTTAGACACAGTTTTCATCTGAATGGAATGGCAACATCGTCTGTAGATGATTTCAAGTAACGCTGAAGTTTCAGCATTGCCAGATGGTATATTTCTATACCAGATTTCACAAATCTGGTATTTTCAAAAGGTGTCTGGTATGAATATTTTAGATCTGGTATATATGCCTAAATCTGGTATTTTCTGACTTACTGCAAATTTACTGCATTTAGTTCCACCTCTGAAGTTTGAACTTCCTCCAGCATAGGCGTGGATTATATTATCATTTATATGAATTGCCTTCAGAGCGGCGCGATTAGAGCTTTCCCGCCATTTTTGGAACCGCAAGTTTTCATGTCAACCGGAACTCGAACGCCACAGCAGAGAGTATTTTATGCAGCTAATGAATTTCGCAAACTTTGCTGGAAGAGAGATTATTGAATTTTAGAAAAAAGGCGGGATAATTCAATGAAGGCTGGTGGCAGAGCTGCAATCTTGATACTCTATTGTGATTCGTGCTATGATAACCTACATAACAATTTTCATATGATAGTTATAATTTTTGTCTATTCAAAGTACACATGACATAACATAACGCACCCAGATTTGGAAACCATTATTGCTCAAATGAAGCAAAAATAAACGACAGACCATTGACTTATCTTGCAAATATATATATTCATATTATGTATCACCCACACTCAGGATGATGTATGTTTTCGGTGAATTTTCCCGCGCATTTTCACTTTTTTAAGCTATTGCTGTGCACAGTTGGCGCAATATAATAAAAATTGATTCTCTTCGCGCACATGTTCGAGCAATCCCGGCCATCAATTCTATGTCGTGCTGCCGCGCACGAGCAGTTTGTGGAGGAACAGACCGTTTTTTTATTTACAGACGTAATACTCACATTACTCAGTACAGTATGCATTTAATTCTTTTTCAATAATATATGATTTTTCTTGATACGGAAATTTGATGAATGAGAAATCTAGAACTTTATTTTGAAAGAAATTTTCTCCAAAGTCATATGGCAACACTGAACACCGTCTGTTTACATTTCGTATGTATAATAGCCGCAGTTTACGATTACCATACGTTCTGTATCCGACAAGGCGGACAAGCGGAAGAGTCAGAAGTAACCTGGACATGTCTTACATTTTATTATTGTCAGTTCGACTCGCGTAGTCATTATACTCGCGTATATTGTCGACTAAAATAGTATAACTATTTTAGCTTTCTAAAGTACGGCGCACGGCGCATTTTTTTTACCAGCATAGTACGGCGCAGGTCATTAAAATGACAAAATAAATTCCCGCGCACCTGGCACATCTTCCTGACCATGGTGTATCACATAGCATAATTACGCTCTGTAATTATGCCATATTGACCTAATTTGTATAGTCCATTTACGCACATTGTTATTAGGTATTGATCGTGTCAATTTTGCCGGCCGGGAGGATGTCGGTAATATAGTCCTAACATTGGCATGCAGGATTGTACTGTTGGCATACAGGTTCATACCCTACTTGCCGCAACCAGTCCAGTCATTCATTAGAAGGCACCGATGGCACATCTAAAGCCATGTTGCCTTCTTTAGTTCTGTAATTCATGTCCGATTGAATTGTGATCTATGAGACTATGAATGAATATTCATTACTGTGCTGACTCTTAGAACCTGAGTCCTGAGTTGACGCGGTAGCAATCTAGTTAAATCGTATCCAACCACAACACATTGCGGATACACGTTTGTGTGTACGGTCAGTGTGATTACGTAATTTGCATTGCTGCGCGTCCATATTTAAACTATTTTAGCTTTCTAAAAGTACGGCGCTGTCGGCGCACGGCGCATTTTTTTTACCGGCATAGTACGGCGCACCGCGCAGGTCATTAAAATGACAATATAAATTACCACGCACCTAACACATCTTCCTGACCATGGAGCAAACGGGACTCGAGTTGCGCACATAGTGGCAAAGCAGAGTTTTTTAGACTCTCCCTCAAGTTCATTTTTGAGTCCTATAAGTAGACCAGTAAAGTATCATGCATAGTGGCAAAGCAGAGAGTTTTTTAGACTCTCCCTCAAGTTCATTTTTGAGTCCTATAAGTAGACCAGTAAAGTATCCTGGATACTAGCATCATCATACTTAAGAAATTGGTTTAAATCTTGGGTAAATGAGGAAATTGAAAATGAACTGATTCTAAAAAAGCTGTGGTTTGCCACTATGGTGGCAACTGGCAAACCAGAGATTTTTTAGAATCAGTTCATTTTTAATTTCCTCATCTACTAAACATTTTAATCAATTTCTTATGTATGAAAATGCTGGTATCCAAGATACTTTCTAGTCTACTTATTGGACTCAAAAATGAACTTGAGGAAGAGTCTAAAAAAATTGCTGCTTTGCCACTATGGTTGCGCATATGGTGATTTTTCTATAGCCATTCATGTTCTGCTACCTCCTTAATGTGTTGGAATTTATTGCATTTATCCTAGCAATAATAAACCAATAAATTTCTTCTTGAATTTCACTTTCCCTTGTTTTTTTTTTCTTACTCATCTCACCCTTAAAACTCTTACACCCATCTAGCCTCAGTGTCCTCACTTGTGATGTTGCTTCAACCTGGCAGGCTGGCTTGGTCTCCCTTTTTCATTTCCTTCAAACAAAATGAATATGCGACGCATCATGGCTCATGCGTGGGCCGTGGCTGAAGCCGTAATGGCCGTTGTAAACGCCTGACTCTGAGACTCTGGAATGTCCTTTTTTGAGTCACGGTGTCACCATGCCCCGAATCCTGCATTATGCTGTGTTCGTATTATGCGGCAGTGCAGCTTCTGGACCTGTGTCTCAGTAAACTTATCGCATGCGGGCTCCAGCCTTCAGCTTCTTATGAGTGAAATTTGGGGCCTACGTCGTACGTCCTACAGGCTACTGTTCTGTTCTGTTCTTCGGTAGGTTAACGGAGTGCTGCGCGTTGGACGATTCACTCCGGAAGCAGCAGTTTGTCAACGATTAGGGGTCAAAGTGGTGAGTTGAACTGATGAAGTTTTCCACGGCTCTGCAGGTCTGGGGCCAGGTAGGGCTGCTGGTGGTATCTCCTCCCAGTAGGGTTCCAAGACTGAGTACAAGTATCCCCTGGGAGTTTATCTGACGTCGCAGTTGGGAGCGGGCTTCAGCGTACTCTGTGCAGACTATGAGATAGTGATGTGCTGTTTCTGGCACTTGGCACGAAGGGCAGAGTGGTGATGGGGCTTGGCGAATCTGGAAGAGAGACTTGTTTAGTGGAGCAGTGCCGAGTCGTAGTCGGGCAAAGAGGGTCTCGAATCTGCGAGTCTGCAGCATGTGATGAGCCCATGGGTGAACTGATGGCTTGATCATTCCCAGAGCAAACTGTCCTCGGATTGATGTCCACTTCGCTTGCCAAAATTTCCAGATGTTACGATGNCTGTCAGGCTGGGGCCTGACGATGATTCAGCCATACCTATTGATACCTTTCACCTTTGATTGTTCTTCACACTTATTCGGTAAGCACTAGTATTTATAGATTTGCACTGGGTTTCAGATTTCACACCGAGAACTTTGGTTGTTCAGCGATAGCACCACACGTCTTGTCACCATGAACGAACAAACGAAACTCCGTCCTACAGGCTACGGGCTACGGCTGCGCTCGAGGCCTCCAACATTGCCTCGTGTTTATCATTAATAAAAGCCGGAAGTGCGGACAAAAAACAAACCTGATTAAATATTATGCATCATTTTTTTATTTTAGAAAATTTTTCAGAGTGGCAGTGATTTTATTCTCATCATTGTAATCTAATTCGAGTGTAGATGACTGTGAATATGCACTGGATGGTGATTCACAGTTGAGAGTAGATCAACGAATTTACATTAATGTAAATAGATTAGGAAAACGTGAAGAATAAACTCATGCATAGAAATTATAATAATATAGATTCAAATTTTGATAAAATATGTTTGTGCATCTATTCCTATTTACAATTTTCCATTTGCATCTTTCACTGGTCACTATTACAGACGTCTCGGACAAATTTAATCATCCCTGAAACTCGGAATAGTGTCTTCTTCTTGTAGAATGTAGAGCCTCAAGGTTCTTGACAGAAATGATAAGGCTTTTTGTCGTTGGCTTTTCAGATGCAATTCCTTGATTTGTCATTTTCTTTGATTTCTTAATCGTTTCAAAAGGGTTTTTAAACATATAATGGTAATTATATAACAAGTTCTGTTATCCTCAGTTAGTTTAGACTTTAGAGTACGGAAGAACCTAAAAAATTTATATAATATATATTATTCAAACTTCAAAGTAATTTTGATTCAATAGGATTTCACCAGTTTTTAATTTTAGTAACATTTTGTTTATAATAAAATTTTACTCTGCATTAATTCATGACTTCATGTCACCAATTTCCAAGGAGAAGTATAGATGATGCACTCAAAACCTCAAATTACTATAGATAATGCACTCAGATAGTCAGACGGTCAGATCTCACTCTTCAATAGTCAGTAGTAGCACTCAAATGACTCGAAGTCTCAAACAGAACACCATGAGACCAGAACATTATTTGAAAATTTCACCCTAGTAAATTATTTTGGGTCTTATGCAACAATGCAAGGAACTGAAGGAAGTCTAAGTGTATGGGCAAAATATTTTTTTATCACATTATGATTATACTACAGCAGTACTGCATAATAAACTTTTTTCAAGCTTTCATCATAGTACCTATTCTTTGTTATTAATGAAATTAATAATTTTCAGGAAGAGCTCAGTAAAGGAGATCTGGAGCCTGGTGATGAGGATTCAAACAATTTGGATGTTGTGCCTCTCACTGAAGCTCATCTGTCCCAGCAAAATGTTGAGGTATGTACCTAAAAGGCTGAAATAATGTTCTTAATTATTAATTAAAATTTGTCAGTTTGGAATATCTATCATTTTACATTTTACTTTTTGAAATTTTATATATTTAAAACCTGCACCTGGTGCCTTGAATATGTAGGAGCTAAGTTAGACAGAGCAAATTTAACTTTAATTTTAATTAGTGTACCTAAGCTAGCTATCTTGAAGTTGTTGACTTGTTGTTACTGTTAAAGTTGGTCTATACTATAGTGCTACCTAGGTGGAGGCTGGATCTTGAATTTGATTTCTGTGTTTTAATCATTAAGCAAAACAAAAGGATAATTAGGGTCAAGATAAAAATTGAAAGTTTTTTATTTTAATTTATTTTTTTCAAATTGAAAGAATGACGATTTCTTTTAATTTCTCTTAATTATTGGCTGTCATAGTATTGTTAATAAAGTCTCCAGCTCTCTACTATTTTACATGCATTTTCTACTTGATCAACATGTTATGTTACAAGAAAAAAATCAACAAATCCCAACTTCCTAAGCCAATTACTTTTTTGTTCCAATAAATTTCTTTAATAATAATAAATTTACTAGTTGAACTCTTTTAATTCAATCCTGACCCTGTTGTTCCACTGTTGTTTCCACAAAATGCTTGGTAAAGCTTTAGTAAATAATTATTTCAATCATAATTGTTGATTTTTCTCAAAGTATTACAGGCATCTAATTTTTTACTGATAAAAGAATATTTACCACCAGATTGAACTTGAATCTTTCCGTCAACGTTGGAAAGATGAGCTTTCTAAGAACCTGAATGAGACTGGCAATGGAACACAAGAAAGCCAAAGCTTTACTCAGCAAAGTTACACAAAAGATTCTAAGAGATTTATCTCAAAGGATAAAAGTTGTGGCATCTCATCTCAGCCTAAACAGTCTAAGCAATGTTCAGCTTTTGCTGAAAATGCTACTATTGCCAATTCTGTACCCTCAAGTGCCAACAATGATAGTTTCAGTGTAAATATTTCAAATGATGCCATTAGGTCAGTGAGTAACAACCTAGCATAACTGATGCTATATATATTCATGTTTTCAATTTCATCCATGTTACAGCAACTTTCATTCCAGACAAAAATATGCATTTTTAATGTGCTTCTCATTTTGATCAGTTAAATATTTGAAATTCAAGTTAAGGTTGACAATTAATATTGTGTTTTGATGAAATATTATTTGGGTGTTGTATTACTTGGTTATCCGAGTATTCTAATATACTTTTTTTTCCTGCAGATTAGGAGCTTTTATTGAGGAAGAGAAAGAGCAAAAGGTGTGTTTATTTGCATATTAATTCTATTTTATTACTTGTTTACACGAGGATAGAGATTGATGATCTTGAATAATCTTTTACAATAGTACTTGACTTTCAATAACAAATAAATTCATTACATAGTAAATGTAAAACTAATATTATGATTATTTACTAATTTAGTACAATTATATTACATTTTCCCAGTATGAATTCTTATATATTTCTGAAAAATTTCCTCCGTTTTTTTGTTCTTGAAATTGAAGGCTTGCAAAAAATTATCATTCATAATGCCAAGTCAAGTTCGCTTCTTGCAATTGTATTTCTAAGGGCTTTCTCTGCATTTCTATTACCATTTACATGTTATGAATTGATTTGATGTACAAATGGAGCATCTAAGAATGAAATGACATTATGTAAAGTTACCCAAATTACCATTCATATCCGACACTATTTAATATTCATCACATACATAAATTATGACGTTTTCCACCGGTTGTGCAGGCGCGCAGTCTCTATGTGAGAGGAGTGGAGCTGGAGAGAGCAGGAAAGCTCTATGAAGCCATCCAGGAATACCGTCGCGCCATGCAGCTTGTGCCGCACATTGAGAGTATCGCTGTATCACAAGGCTCGGGTGATGGGGGTAGGTATCATGTCAAGTTCAGATACCATTACATTGTAAACAGCTACTCAAACTGAAATCAAAGATACAAGAAAATTTGATCATTTTGGTAAAATGCTCTGTTGGGAATTTTGGTTCAATGCGACATTTGTTGAATATTCATTGAGTGGGTTTGTTCTTTGTTGTTACATCTCTCCATTAATGAATTTGAAATAATTTTTGCCGTTGAAATATTTGTTCTATGCTCCCTGTATTAGCTGCAAAAATTATCAGTCTCGTCTACACTATTATGTTGAACCAATTGACAGGAACTGATGGTGAGCAACAAACCTAGAGTCCATCATTCGTAGGGAATAACTTGCCAAGTGATCCTATAGTCTAGTGGAAAGTATTAAGCTCTATTTGTATTTATGAATGCAGCTGGAAGATAGCACCTGATTGCTTTGCTATTCAGTAGGTCCACTGGATTTCCTTTTATTCATTGATGGATTCTTTTTCATGGTGCTCATGACAAGACCCTGAAAGACCTACAAAAAAATTCACAAAAATTCATATCTTTATGGAAAATGTTTCGGAGTACAGCTCCATTGTCAGTTCGTAGAATCTAGAATTAATTTAAAAAATTACAAATTAATACAATTGAAAGTCACAGAACCGAAATTGAAATCAAAATGTACAAATAATAAACAGAGCACAAAAAACTATCTATTCACAATTTCAAGAGGATAGGAGCTAACAGCTGAATTCAAACTGAGCCTAAGTTTAAAAATGTACAAGGAGTCTAAAGAACACAGATCTGAAAAGTACCAGAGGTGTACGCTAACACCCTAAAGTCACTGTCAGAAATAGGGACATCACACTGCTCGGCGTGAGTGCGCACAGCCTAATAAGGGGGTGCGATAGCAACTGTCCAATCCTACAACTCCTGCCCTTATGCTCAGCGACCCTAGAATAAAGATTGTGTGACATCCCGACGTACGCAGATGCACATCGTGCACAACAATATTGATGAACCAGGGACGGTCGCATGTGAACAGGGAGCATATCTTTATATCTAAAGCAAGAACCGATTTTGAGATTGTTTACCAGCACAATATGAAGATTGACATTTAGGAAGTATTTATTTAATAAGACTTTTAATTCTCTTGACTTAGCTTTGGATGCAGGGCCAAATTATGGAAAAGAACAATAAACAACTTTCCTCACTCTATTGCTTTGACATGAATTTTTTGATTTGAGTGACCACCAAACTTGTCAGAAATCCATTAAGACAAAAATATACTGCGTAAAAATTCAAATTCCATGTGTATAGCAGGTATGTAGAATTTCAAGGCCTTTTCTATGTAAATATTTATTTATTTAGAATTTTTTTAGCTTTTAAATTTTTAGTAAACTTGCAATTTAGGCAAACAAGTGACCTAAAACCTTTACCTACAAAAAATTGTGGTATTAATAACATACATTTATTTCTCACTCAATTTTGTATTCAGTTAAACTACTGTAAGAGGTGCTTTAACACTTCACATTACCACTAGTCATCTTCACATTACCTCAGTCTGTAGCCTTTGACCCTGAACAGAATCCGCCGAGAGTTGCAGCAACACCGCCAGTGAGGACGACGAGGGCAGCACAGGCGCTGACGAGGAAGTTGGTGTACGCGGTCATATTGTGTCCCACATCAGCGCCCTGCTTGGGCCCAACGCTCCTGTCTGCCAGAAAAGACATCAACAGCAGGTGAGGCTTGCACATCAGCAGCAGGTGAGGCTAGCACACCAGAGTGTGATCCAAAAGTTCGATGCGTAATTGGCTCACATGAGGTGATGATTGTGTATTGCAGGTTTCGTTGCATGATTGCTTGGTGGCATCATTGCCATGTTTATTAATTGAAGCTGGTGATTGTGGCGTTGCAGAGCACGCACTTGAGCAGGCTTCCTCTGGAGATCATGGAGCAAATCATGTGCTGGGTGGTGGGGGGAGAACTGGACATGCGGTCACTCCACGCGGTGGCCGCTGTGTGCCGGGGCTTCTTCCTCCTCTCCAGATCTGAGACGCTCTGGAAGAAAGCTTGTCAAAGGTTAGTCAAACATATACATTGTTCATCGATTATAAAGGGAAGCATGACTTATTATGGCTGTTTTTCTCAACTTCTAGTCTAGTTGTCTCTGTGATAAATTTCAAATATAAAGTGAGCATTCCATCTCAAATACCATTGTAGTTTTAACGAGTGAATGTGTTGACCTAAGTAGTTCCTACCTAAGGTGTTAGTAATATCTGAATTGAATTTGCTCTATCACTTCTACATAAAGCTTATCAAAGGAACTTTTTTCGTCTAGTGTGACATTATTTTATGATAAGTGAAAGAACGACGTATGGCTTTTTGTATTTAACTCTGTTTTCCTTTTTGATTTAACAGAGCTTATCAGTGGCATTCATTATCTCGTAATATTTGTCTATCAATATAAATTCCCAGCATGGTCATTTGTTGTACAGAGTTTGGGGACCTGACTGTGCTCCATGTGGCAGCGATGACGACACAGCAGTTGATGCTCTCGCTAATTACAGCTGGCGAGACATGTACCTAAAGCGCCCTAAGCCCAGATACAATGGGTGCTACATCTCTAAAATATCATACTTCAGGTGCGTCAAGCAAGTGCTCAATCTCAACTTGTACTTCATACATTCAATTAATGCTCTGAATTTATATATAAATTTTTCTTTTTTTTGTTGGAATATTGATTATGATGAAAAACGAATGAATACCGCAAATGAAATGAATACCGCCTGACATGAATTATTCTTTGAAATGAATAAAAAAATTTTCATTGAAATGCATCGTGCTTGCTGTTTAATACCGAGCATTTAGCCTCTGAGAGCATTGTTTTCATACCCATGAGAAAAGTTTCGAAATATCAATTATTAGGTAGATGTAGTTTGCCTATGAGAAATTACTGTCCAGTACTGCAGGCCACATTCAAAAGTTCATGCATCCTTGACATGAAAAAAAAATCATATACCGGAGTCAAATGTGCTACGTTGAATCCAGTGACATGATTTTGCTACTAGGTACAAGGTTCAATCCTACGGCACATTTTGAAAGTGAAAGGAAAGTCTGCTCTTTATTATGTTTGAACGTCTTATAGTCGCAGAATTCATTAGCTTTGTAAAAAATTTAATACAGTTGTGGATGAATTGTATGTTGATTTTGGGTCTAATCTAACATTTTCTCTGTGGACCAGGTCTGGAGAATGCAATTTTCATGACCAAAATTACCAACCGTGGCACCTCGTTGTTTACTACAGATTTTTCAGGCGAGTCTCCAAACATGAATTTAATGTTCTTCACTCCTTTTATCTGATATTTATAGTAAAAATGTAAAATATCCACATAGAATTTTGGTGTAAAATTTTTACTTAAGTAGATTCTAAGTTATGTTTCCTTTTTTCTATCACATATTAGCATTACTTAAAACAAATATCCCTGTCACTGGAAAACTAATCATGATTCTAAAATTAATGCTAAAATCAGTAATCAAATTGCCAACGTCACTCCAGTATATATATAAATTATCTTCTTCGAATGAATCACTTGAATGTGATAAATTCTTTATCACCAATAAAGCTTTCTCAATGCTTGTCAGATGTGACCCATGATTTCATGCATTAATCTGATGATATAATGATAAATAATATCCTATAATACAATAATAATGACTGAGTATATATGCGCCCAGGTTCTTCCCTGGTGACGTTGTTCTGATGACCACCACATCTGACCAGCCACAGGCCGTCGTGGCGCTCCTCGCCCACAAGGACCCCAAGCAATCCCAGGTGATAACTCCCTGCCAATCACTCCCTGCCAGTCACTCCCTGCCAATCACTCCCTGCCAATCACTCCCTGCCAATCACTCCCTGCCAATCACTCCCTGCCAATCACTCCCTGCCAATCACTCCCTGCCAATCACTTCCTGCC